AAACAAGGTCGAGGGTGTGGTTAAAACAGTGAGTCGGTTCATGAACACTCTGAGAGAAGCCGATGGAATCTAACAGAGAGATAAACGCAGTACTGAAGCTGTCATTCTCAACGTCCACATGAATATTAAAGTCCCCTACAATAATAACTTTGTCCGTTTTAAGGACTAAAGTTGACAAAAACTCTGCAAATTCAGATAAGAATTCAGAATACGGGCCAGGTGCTCGGTACACTATAACAAAAAGAATTGGTTGCAGTGATTTCCAACTTGAGTGCGAAAGACTAAGAACAAGACTTTCAAATGAGTTATAGTTTAGTTTAGGTTTAGAGCTGATTAGTAGGCTAGAGTCGAAGATAGCTGCAACTCCACCTCCTCGGCCTGTGCCTCGAGGAATGTGAGTATTAATATGACTGGGAGGGGTGGATTCATTTAGGCTAACATATTCTCCATCACCCAGCCAGGTTTCAGTAAGACCAAATAAATCAATATCATAATCTGATATTAGTTCATTTACTAGTACACCTTTAGAAGAGAGAGATCTGATGTTTAAGAGTCCACATTTAACTCTCCTATTCGTTTGCACTATTGCTCTTGTGGTTTTAATTTTTATGAGGTTTTTATGCACAGCTCCTCTTCTGTTTACCTTTTTAAATAATTTCGATGGTCGGGGGGCAGACACCGTCACTATAGGATTTTCACTAAGTAACTCCTGAAATGGAGGAGCAGAGAAGTGTGTTAGACTGCGACTCTGCGTAGGGTTTTGGGTGGGTAACTGCTGAAAAAGAAGGGCAGAGAAGTGTGTTAAACTGCGACTCTGCCTCCTGGTCTCAACTCTGGGTTGTCATGGATTTGGTCCACTAATAAACTTGGCCAGATTTCTAGAAATGAGAGCTGCTCCTTCCCAAGTGGGATGGATGCCGTCTCTCCGGATCAGACCAGGTCTTCCCCAGAAAGTCTGCCAATGATCAACAAAGCCCACATCGTTTGCTGGACACCACCTCGACATGCGGCTATACATGTCATCACTGGTCAGATTTGGCAGGGGTCCAGAGAAAACTACGGTGTCCGACATTGTTTTTGCATATGTACACACCGACTCAACATTAATCTTAGTGACCTCCGATTGGCGTAACCGGGAGTCATTACCGCCGACGTGAATAACAATCTTACTGTATTTACGTTTATCCTTAGCCAGCAGTTTCAAATAAGACTCAATGTCGCCCGCTCTGGCCCCAGGGATGCACTTAACTATGGCCGCTGGCTTCGCTAAATTCACATTTCTCAAAATGGAGCTGCCAATGATCAGAGTTGGTTTCTCAGCGGGTGTGTCGCTGAGTGGGGAAAATCTGTTAGAAACGTGAACAGGTTGATGATGCCCCGTGGACTTTGAATGCTTACGACTATTCCTCCTTCGGACAGTCACCCAGCCCCCCTTTCCTGGCTGCACAGGGGATGCCGGAGGACGGCTACTAGAGGCTAACTCAGGCCGTTCCGCACCGACTACCGGGGACTGGCTAGCTACAGTAGCTAAAGACTGATCTACCAAGGTGCGGAGCCGGACTTCTAAGTCACTGAGCCTCGCCTCCATGTCTATAAATAAACTACACTTATTACATGTACCATTACCGCTAAAGGAGGCAGAGGAGTAACTAAACATCTGACACACCGAGCAGGAGAAAGTAGGAGAGAGAGAGGGAGAAGGAGAAGCCATCGCTAGCTGCTAAGCTAAAGTCGCTAACGGCTAAGCTAAATTACTGTAGCGTCAGTTACCAAAACTTTAGAACAACTATGGGATTGAACAGCAGTCACTAAAAGATGGAAAGAACTGTGAGTGCTTAGGCAAAATTACTGTAAAAAATAAGTGTTTAGCGAACAGTTGGCCGCTGTAATCAAACAAATGTAACTGTTATTTAGCGAGAGCAACAACACGGTACCAACACACAAGCACCGGAAACGGAAATGAGTCGACACGCTTACCGCAGTACGTCAGCAGTACGTCGACAGAGAACCACGGCAGAAGACAAAACATCAGACAGTGGTGTAGGACTTGGATCTGTTTGTGTCTCAAGAGACTACGCACTGCCCGCTATGGTTTCTCTCATTCCTCCAGCCCCGTTGGGTCTGGACGCCATGGTACATTCGTGGCCGAGGCTATGTCTGTACGCTTTTCCCCCAATCGCTCTGCTCCCGGGGTTCTGGAGCGGGTCCGCCAGGACAATGTCGGCCTACTGCTCATAGCCCCGTTCTCGGACATCATGTCGCTCCTGGACGGCCCGCCGTGGCGGGTCCCTCTGAGGAGAGACCTGCTGTCCCCGGGTTCTTCACCCTTGCCCCGCCATATGGCGACTGTGGGTCTGGCCCCTGAGGGGGCACAGTACCTAGAGGCGGGTCTAACAGCCGGAGCAGTCGAGACCCTCCTGAGCTCCAGGGCCCTGTCCACACGGAGGATGTACGGCCTGAAGTGGAGTGTTTTCTCCACTTGGTGTAGGGAGCGGTTGGTGGACCCTGTTACCTGCCCGGTGGTTCAGGTACTTGAGTTCCTCCAGGACCGGTTCTCTGCTGGTCCCCGCAAAGCCTGGAGTTTGCCCCGGGGAATATTAGGGCTATCCTGCACCCTCGTTCAGGATACATCCCTAAAGTGCCTTCTTGTGCGGCAGGGTCCACAGTGCTGCAGGCATTTCATCCTCCACCTCATGTGACGGCAGACTTTATCTGCTATGCCCTGTCAGAGCACTGAGTATTTACACTCTGAGGTCCTCCCGTTGGAGGAAGGCTGACCAGCTGCTAGTGTGTTTTGGGTCTCCCAGGGCCGGGCTCCCTGCATCCAAACATACTATTAGCAACTGGATTGTTCAGACTATTTCCCTGGCCTATCAGGTGCGCCGTTTGCCTTCACCTGTGGCTGTGAGGGCTCATTCTACCAGAGGCATGGCGGCCTCTCGAGCCCTCCTTTCCGGGGCCTCTTTGCAGGATGTTTGTTTAGCAGCTGGCTGGGCCACTCCGCACACATTCATTCGGTTTTACAGTCTTGACCTTCCTTCGGCACCTGGCACTCGTGCGCTCTCCTCTTAGTCGTGCCACTTTATTGCACACTGGGGCAGGCGGGGTATTCGGCACGGTTTAGTGGGTATCTCGTTCTCATAGTGTCGTAACCGACGCAGTTCGAGTTCCCTCGAAGGGGAACGTCTCGGGTTACGTATGTAACCCTGGTTCCCCGAGAAGGGGAACGAGACACTGCGTCGGCCCGCCGCACCTCTCTCCCCGCCTGAAGCGCCTGCTTCATAGTTTAAGCTAATGATGAGTGTGTACAGGTGTGCTTTATACTCCTCTGGTTATTCCGTCACACCTTACCATTCTAGCAACAAGCCAATAGGATTGGAGTGATTTCATTCACGTTCAGACCTGCTTCGCCTATAGGCGTTCCCATAGTGTCGTAACCGACGCAGTGTCTCGTTCCCCTTCTCGGGGAACCAGGGTTACATACGTAACCCGAGACGTTTTCTGTTCTCTGCCTGCCTCCCTGTGTTTTCTCCCCTGTGTGCTCTCTCTCTCTCCCTCTGCTCCTGAGCCCAGCCAACTACCTGCACCTGCATCTCATCAGCCACCTCGTCAGCCTGCCACACCTGCCAGTAATCACCTCATAACTGAATGTATTTCAACCCTGGTTCTCCATACCATCCTCGCTTGATCGTCGTTGCTCCATACCCGGTGCCACCCCCACGTTCAGGCTCTCCTGTTTCTTGTTTTATTCTCACATTTTCCGTGCTTTGTCTCTGTTATCCCTAACCCTGTCTCTCTGTCTGTTTCCCTCCCAGGTTCACTCACCCTCGTCCTCCGTTCAGTCGGCTGGTCCTCTCCTCCTCGGACCTCCCCCACGGCGTCCTCCCTGTCCTCCCTGTCCTCCCACCGTTCCTCGCTACCTCGGCCCCAGTGTTCCCCAGCTCCCTGGCCCCCAGGCTCCTTGGTTCCCCGTGCCTGTGTTTCCCTGACGTCCTCCTCTCCCTCCACTCCAGTCCCTCTCACCCTTTTTCCCTCAATAAACCTCCTTCCCTCAGAGTGCTGCATTTGGGTCCTCTCTGTCCACCCACAACACGACCTCGTAACAAAATTGGTTAAGACTACACTTCAAGCTACACTTTTAATTTCATTTTTTTCTGAAATTAAGCAATTTATTTTAGTTTACTTCAAATTTGAATTTATTATTAGAGTAGTTATTATTTATTAGCCCTCGAGTTTGATGTGAAAACTGACTATTGATGTGTATATGTTTATGATTATTTCATTGCATTTAGAGGGAGCAAGAAAAGAGAAAGAGAGATCGCATTGCTTACAGCTTCAGGGTGTATCTGCGACTTCTGAATTGTCCCTATAGCAAAATTCTCTCAATAAAAAAATATTTATTTATATTGGCCTGTTTTTTAAAAATGGGCCAATGATCAGCCCATAAACCATAGGCCTATACTGACATTGGGCTAGTGGGCCCCTCTGCTCAAGCTGTTTCTTGCGTCTATCATAATTTTCCAAATGTGCGAAAATTCAAAATCTAATTATTCTATCTAATTATTATCAATAGTAATTATAAAATGTATAATAAATGTATGCTATGTACATAATTTACTGTTGCTTTATAGACCTACTTTGGGTAGGCAGAAATGGGTGAGGGGGGGCTAAAACATGAAAGATTTCTGTGCTGGGCTAAGCCCCCAATGTTTCAAGAGCCTGGAAACGCCCCTGTTCCGGACCTTTGCTTCGGGAATTTTCCTCTAACCACTACTTTAGACATCTTGTCACAGTTGTTTTAACATGTTACTTTTGTAAAGATTGTGCATCAGAAATGACGAGTGGAACTGTTATCTGCTTTAGGACTTGAAGGGTAATGTGTTTGCGATACATCTGCACACAAGCAACATCGATTATTTTTAAACATCCAAAATGTAGCGTATTTGGAGAATTTGATTGGTATAGGCTGCAAATAAGTCATGTGACGACAGCACGTGACTGAGTTCAAAGTTGAAAGTCAAAAGCACTGCAGTTCCTCAACATGGCGGTCCTGATGGGACGCAGAGCTCTGTGGCAAGCCTTCCACGGGCACGCAGCGACCGTCTCCTGCTCGAGACGGCAGGTTTTCTCCGCGCAAGTCTGGTCTTCTTCTCGCCTGAACGGCCAAGTAGCGGTGACACGACAGTACAGCGCAGACTCCAAGGATGACCTGCGCGTGAGATACCTGGACGGAGAAGACGCCGGTAAGTTCCAGTACAGTCTGTAACAACTGTTGCAGTTGGGGCGAGTTCAATCTCAAAACGGTTTCCAACGTTTTCGGATTGAAGGACATGTTTCCTTGCAACATTGTGCAACGTTCCGCAACGGGCTTCAAGGTATGTTTTCTTCTGTTTGGTGGGCGTGGCACAGTTGTTACCCAATCAGCTGCGACAAGTTTGTAAACACAACGGTAAAAAGGCAGGGAAATGCAGTGCGCTTGCGTACACAACAGGGTGAAAAGGCACCACCGATTCTGCTGCGTTTTGAACTAGCCCCTGGTGTTATTGTTGAAACGATAGTCACGTTAGCGTTCCAACAAACGGAAAGTGACCGTGAAATGATGGATGGACAGCCGTCCAGATGCAAACAGAAAGGGAGCCCCTTCCATCAACAGAGTAGAGGGTGCGCTGTGACGTGTACCACAGCCCCCTGAGCTCAGTCAGCAGGTGGTTCCTGTAGCGGCCGGCATCAAGTCTGGCATCGAGCCAAATGTTTTTCATGGCGGGCCAGAACTAAGTCCAATTATTTCAAATCCTTGTAAACTTGCGTGCACGCTTAGCTCAGTCGGTACTGTGCGGGACTCCTGATAGGAAGGATGCAAGGTCGAACTGCGGATATATATTTTTTCTACTTGTTATACAAATTGAATAATAAGGACACTTTTGCATAGGCTCACAATAGTGCTGCAGTGTGTGTGTGTGTGTGTGTGTGTGTGTGTGTGTCTAGTGAAAGTCCTTCATAACTCTTCAAAGTAAAAGCTCTTAATAAACTCGACATAAAGCATTGCTGCAAAAAACGTTCTTGCGCTTTAATTTTGTAGGCACAATCACGAGATTATGTGAGTCACTGTAGCTGTCATCACTGAGATCTATTTCAGCACCAGCCGCTATCTATTTATTTTTTATTTTTCTGCTATCAAAGCAATTTGGCCACGGGCTAGATGATATTGCCTATTGCCGAAAGCTGCTGTATACAGTTGCAGGCTGTAGAGTGATAATAAATCAGACAGTTTTCCTAAATCATTTGACTTTTAATCTCCATGCAAGTACTTTTGTTTTATTTGTACAGGTTTGAGATGTCTGTCTCAGATGTGCATAAACCAACATGCCTAACGTGTGCAAAAACACTTGTAAACTGAAACCATATTCACAGCACTGAACTGTGTTCCACTGTCTCTGAGTCAACTGATACTACTTCCTGATTTGAGAGGTAGATGGATCATGTCATGGCTGATGCCTAATCTGCTTAATTGATATTTTAGTATTTTTAAACCTGGGCTATTTTCACATATTTCGTTGTCTAAATGACTAGTAGGTACAAACGGTTTTGGAATCCGTGCAGTAGATCAAAGTGGCATCCAAAAAAGTGCTTCTTTTTGCGACTGACAGGCTCAGACTGTTATATCAAGTATCTGATAAGATCATGGGAAGGATCCCTTCGGAGGTCTCCTGCTGACATCCATTGTTTTTAACAGGAAACTGAAGTCTCACTCAAGGATAATTCTCATTTTGAAATCTTGTGAGAGGTGAGTTGTTCCAGGAAGATACTGGTGGAAACGAGTGGCAGAGTTGGAGAGAGGAGTTTGTTTTGTTGGAGTAACGTTAGGAGATAACATCTTGCTAATGCTAGTTCCTTTACGTATACAACATTCTCCTCTCCCTCGTTTCCACCAGCTTTTCCAACTCGCCTCTCACAAGATTTTGAGCAAGAATTGTCCAAGAGTGAGACTTTAGTTTCCAGGTTAAAAACAAAGGCTGTCTTTGGGAGTCAATCTCACATAGCTTGAAGCTGTACTTGCGTGAACCATATTTCTGCCCTGCATAAAAACAACAACAGAATACTATTAGTATATTGTACATTAGGCTTGGCGATCTTCTCTATTTTCATATTGTCTGATCAAACCACCAGAAACATCTGTAAATGCACAGTACAGTGTTTCCCACAGAATTAATGTCTTTTCAGACGATAAGTGACACTCAGCGTGTGTAGTCACCATAGTCACTTGACCCCACATGTGAACAGACAGGGAGACGAGCGCTCCTCAAGTAAATGGTAGGAGCTCTATGGATAGTAACCCTTACAACGGCTTCTGTGCGCTACACAGCTTCTGTTGCTTATTTAAAATTATACATAATGTTACCTGATACATACGTGCAGTCGATACTGACTATGTACAGTAACAGCTGTATTCTAACGTTAACATAGCTCTCCTTATTAGCTAGGCTCCATGCTTGCTTATAACTTATTTGAAGGTGGGTCTCTGACATTGACAGCTTTGTGTTAAGAACATAGACTAACTTCTCAGAATTTACTTGAATTATTTAGTTTTTCTATAAACACATGGCTCCATTTCCGTCTGAGTGTGAGAGAGAGAGTAAGCGGAGGTGTGGAGCGAATCTATGTGCTGCGCGCAGTTCCACAATCAATCTCAATTTTACTCATATTAAATAGTATACAGGATGTGGCAGTCAGCGTTGATATTGTGGCGTGTTGTGTCGCCACAAATAAATCAATTAATGGGAAACACTGCAGATTCTGGAGACTTTTATATCATCTTAGTTCTGATAGTGAGTTGGTTCAAACAGCTTCAATATCGGTGCATGAAGACCCAATCGCTGATCATCCCTTCAATCATAAGCCTATTGTACATCCTATATACATCTACTGTACAGTATGGATTTGGGACACAGCATTTCAGTTTTCATGATGGGGTCTTTGCTTATGTTTTCCAGTGGTGATAAGCTGCTCTTCAGTAATGTACCTGTGTGTCCCTGTTAATCTGTATGTTGTAACACTGTTTTTCAGGTATTGTTGTTGTTGGGATAAATCGACCCAAGGCCAAAAATGCAATAAGCAAAAATCTGGTCAAAATGGTATGTATTTCTCTTTAACTTGTATTTAAAGGAAACCTGCTTTATGGGTTGGTTGTAGGCTAGTGTGCACTAGGGTTACAGAGGCTATGTTCAGACTGCAGGCCAATGTTACCCAAATCTGATTTTTCTTCTTTTTTTGTTTTTGCTCGTATGTGACTCAGATCTGATCTTTTTATAACTGTGTGAACAGGACAAGTCACCTGGAATCTGATCTTTTCCAGTTCGGATTTGGGCCACTTCAGATCGGATCTTTTTGAATGCCGACCTGAGTGTGGACACTCGGTATTGATGCGACTTTGACGTCACTGTAGAGCAGCTGTTCTGCTGTAAATGGAGTGCGCTGAATGAAAAAGCTCCACAAAAAGCCATAATTAAACACGTGGCTCTCTTCCTCCTCTACCTCGCCATTTCTTACACCTGAACTCCACCGGACGGCGAGCTCTCTTCTGAGTTATGTGCATGCTATTTGTCCGAGCGGACACAGTGGGGATAGAGGGGGAGACAGAGGGAGTGAGTTGTGGGGCAGTTGCGTTGTACAGCGCCAGAAACCGTAAAGAAAAGAACAGAAAGTTGTAAACGCTTGTCATAACTTAGGAGAAATGTGACCCAAGGGACAATGGAAAAAAAGTCTCCTGTGAGCTAACCGGAGCTAACATCTGTGGCTCCTTGTTTACTTCTGTAGCCTGCAACAGTGTGCTGTGAGTGACTTTGTAATATTCTTTGGCGCATGTGGGTCACTTTCAGGCTGGGGACAGTACACACTGGAGTCTGATATGGGCCACATTTAAACAACAATGTGAACTGTCAAACAAGAAAAATCGGAATTGAGCATTAAGGCCTGCAGTCTGAACGTAGCCTTAGAGACATTAGCTTGGTGGTTTCTTATACTTGTGTCGTATGTTTTATTTCTTTTCTTCATTTCTCACCCACCTGCCAACCCAATCCACTTACTTGACGCGCAGATCCGAATGACACACTGAGATTTCCAATGTGTACATGGCAGCTCCTCTGAGCCTCAGGAAACTATGGTTACCCATAATACCCATGTATGTGTATGTTTGCAGATACTTTATGAAGCCTCATTTTAGCTTAACTATGATGAATCAACAGTGTATTGAAAGTGGTCAGTAGCTCAAAAAAAATATTTTTGTATACCTTTTAACTGGCGTCAAGCACTCAGGTTTAGTTTTTTTTTGATCTTGCTTATACTTTCTGATGCCTGACTTTGTCTTAATATATGCTCCAGTTTATTATATGTTTGTTCTGTAAAATAAAGTGAGAAATGTTAAGTGCAATTTTATAGAAATAAATGTTTTGTCTTTCAGATGTTTGAGGCTGTGGAGGATATCAAGAAGAATAACAAAGTGCGCAGTGTCATTTTATGTAGTTTGGTTCCTGGGGTTTTCTGTGCAGGTACTGTGACCTTGTTTATTGCCCTATGATTTCAACAATGCACAGTTTATAAAAATCTGTGTTTTCCCTTGCATTATTCAGCTTAATTCAGTTTTATTTATATAGTGCTAATTCACAAAAAAGATTATTTGTTTTTGGGACAGACAGAAAATTAGTAATGGTACTGATAATTCTAGTAATTCTGATGATGATGATGATGATAGGGCTAATATTAATAATTGTAGCAGCAGAAGTCGAGCAGGAACACAGGGGCAGTAGGAAGCCTGCAACCGCAGATCCAGACTCCACAGCTCCAGAGCCAGAAACACCTGCAGGAAGTGATAGGAGGAGAGAGGAGAGGGAGGAAAAGCACAAGACTACCGGAAAGGGAAGAAGTCGAGTTGGTAACATGCATTAATGGGATGAGATTGCATACAGAGGGAGAGAAAGTAGAGGAGAGAGGAGCTCAGTGCATCATAGGAAATCCCCCCAGCAGTCTAGGCCTATAGCAGCATAACTAAGGGATGTCCAACGAAGGTTAAAATCAAGGGCAACTGGACTTGGTTGAAGATACTGGAAGACGTTTCGTCCCTCATCCAAAAGACTTCTTCAGTTCTGACTGACTGGCAGGGAAACTCAGCTATTTAACCTCAGTGGGGTCATTGTTGGTATCTTCACCTGAGGCCAGTAGGTTACGTTTGTTGAGTTTCCTGGGAAGTGATGAAAGGACCGCATTGTAAGTGGTGGCGTAGACCCCCCTCCTCGGTTCAATGACGGCTTCTCGACCCGGGTGTAGATGGCTTCCTTGACACCTCTTTCAAACCATCCATCTTCTCTGTCTAAAATGTCCACCTCAACAAACTAGTTGATAGTAAGGTACTATGAGCTCTTTAAGATAAGATGGTTCCTGAACATTAAGAGATAAATTCCATTGTGGATTTTACAGGGAGCCAGTGCAGAGAAGCTAAGACAGGAGAAATATTAAAGCTGAAAGCAGCGTTGGGCGGGCCCTCGTGCCATAATGCCATGTTAGTTTTGTGGTGCACATTGGCCGGAGGTAGCGAGATGCGGCTCCGAATTATCGAACGTTTTGGACTGGTTACGAAGATGTTAAACGTGACTTCCTCTGTAACCATATATAGCACTGGAGAACACCTGCTAATCATATGTGTACCGGTACATGAAGTATGGACCGTGCTGTGAAAATGTGTAAATAAAATTATTTTTGTTAGTAAGGTCATTAGGGCTGCAACTAATGATTATTTTCGTAGTCAACTAATCTGTTAATTATTAAACAATTGTTTTTTTCCACCCCCGAACCAAACATTTTAACAAATTAAATATATTTCAAGTGAATTACCGATCTCCAACACGCAGCCTAACTAGCTAACGTTACCATTAAGCAAACAAGGTTTACTATTCAGAATGAACACTAGTATCAACACCAGGGGGAAACCAGGGAAGAAGACAAGACAGCGTAGGCTACTCTTATAATTCACTGATTTACTATTGCATTTAACGTATTTGCTAACGCAACTAAAAGAGTGTTCTCTTAGCCAGCATCATCCAAAACCAAGAGTGCAAATAACTGCTGAGGTTGCTCCAAGATAACAGCCAGACCTTATCACCCAAAACAATAAGCTCACAATCTGATTTATTGCCAAGTAGGTATGAACTATAAAATGTTTAACTTTTTAACGAAGATTTTTGCTTTAGAACTATATAAATAAAAGCACATTAAAAGCAAGTGCTATAACCACAACTGTACACTAACGTAACGTAACGTAATGTCTATTGAGAATTATAAAGCGACAGCCCCCTTTCATAATACTTATGTAGTTTATTTGTGAGTAAGTGCTTACAAGTTTTATAATCAGAGAATGTTCTGTAGGCTACATTATGAGCCAGATGTTTCTTGAATTACTTTAAAATGTTAAACCATTACTCAGATCAAAATCAGAAGGAGCTTTATTGTCAAGTAGTGTTTTACACATATGAGGAATTTGCTTTGGTGATAAGGTACTACACGTAGACAAACATACAGTTGTTCCGTGTGTGGCTGCGTTCTGATCCACAGTGTATATAAACAGTACTCCGTGCTCCCTGCTCAGCGAACGTCAGTTAAGGGAACTTCCCTCGACAAAATTCTTCCATTGGAACACCCTGCAACATCATCAAAGCAGACTTCCGTTCCGCAGTGTGTTACCCAGGCAATGTAAACACCCTGGATACCCGCTGCTTCTGTATTGAAATTAAATATTGACTATGTATTAAAACAAAAGCTGATAACACTACAAAACTTAGAAGAAGTTATAGAAATCTATTTCTATTCCATTGAAATGTATGTAACTTGTGAATGAATGTGATTGAATTCATTTAGAAGATATGCAGCATCATTCTTAAAACGATTTATTTGAACATTGTTATTTTTAGGTAACCTAACCTGTGAATTTATCCCATAAATAATGATTACATTAGTTACAACGACAGTAATTACATATATATATTATATATAAACTCTTTTGTCTACTCCATTGTTAGTTTTTGCCGCTTGTATGAGGCAAAATGGCTGATGGGTAATCTGCCTTTGTCAGTTCGAATTGATGAACTCTTGTTCCCTTCTTCCCTACACAGTTCACAGTGGCCTTTTGAACTGAGCATGTTGGGAGCTCTGCTGTGAGAGGAGGGGAGGGGCTGCAGCATGATGGCTCTCTTGTTCTATTGGCTACTTCCACACTATATTCTGTGTTGATAGGCTTTTACTTGTGACTTGTAACAAATCAGCTAGTACTGTTGGTGGGACATTGCTCGAGGCCACCGAGTGGTGAGTACAGAGAGAGGCGGCTGCATCAGAGCCAAAGGAGCGCATTTTCTTTATATATATATATATATATATATATATATATATATATATATATATATATATATATAATCTATCTGGTTTTTTTTAAATGACCGATGCAGATTATTGGAAAAATGCTGAATATCTGCCACGATAATTGGCCAGGCTGATTATTGGTCAACCCCTAATACGGAGGCTGTCCTGCAGATGACCCGTGGAAAGAAACTTCTGGTAGTCCACTATGGTAACTTAATAACCTATTTAACAGGATAATTTACAGCACTGCATGCACTCCAACAATACATTCATGGTGAATTGCTCCCTATTAAATATTATAGTATTTTATTATCTTACAGTTGTCTTACATTCATTGTGAGTTTTCTCTACAAGTAACTCTCATTTAAATATCTCTATGAATATTTGCACGATCAAATTCACTGATATTGATGACATTTTTTTTATGTTTTCTATTTGAATTGTTTATACTTACACCACATGATTACACACTCTTTCTGATGCCAAAATGTGCTGAAATTGCAAAACACAGAATTCAGAAAAATTCAAACAGAAAACATGGAATTTTGAGAAGAAGTCAAATGGAATCTGGCAAAAATTCAGACAGATTTCACAGGAGGGCTTTTTGACTGGTGGAATCTGCTATTTGGAACGTCTTTCCATTTCAATCCGCGGTCTTCATACATTTTGCCAATTAAATGTTCATGCATCATGTTATGTATAATATTTCATATTGAGATCTTGACTCTGTAATGTGTATTTATATTCAGAAACCTGTATATTAACGTATTGTCAGATACCACACTGTGCTCTATTTTTCAGGAAGCCACAGGTGATGCAGATGCTTTGTTTCTGTGTGCAGGTGCAGACCTGAAAGAGAGGGCCAAGATGCACCAGAGTGAAGTGGGACCGTTTGTGGCCAAAGCGAGAGCACTCATCACAGAACTGGGTATGTAATGAGTGCTATAAGAATGATGGAATCCAGTGACTGTTTATGAATTCATTGTAGATTAATTTACTTTGATGCATTCTAGACAGTAGATGGCAATGCATGTTTACGCTCACACTTCTTGTGTTGCGCTATAGAAGAAGAAGAAGAAAGAAGTGAAAGAGATACATTAGTCAACAATGTACTTGAGTGGTTGTACTTGTCTGATGTAGTTGGTTTAATTTATTTGATTTATTTTTGTGAAGAAGAAAAAAAATCATCATTTTGTGTCTCTTCATTGGCACCATGTTGTTGTTTTTTTGTTTTTTTTTCAGGAAACCTGCCAATACCAACAATTGCCGCAATTGATGGAGCTGCCTTAGGAGGAGGCCTGGAAATGGCCCTTGCTTGTGACATCAGAATTGCATGTAAGGCTCAGTGGACATTATTTTGAGGTTAAAGACAAGTCTACTTCTGGTCTATGTACAAAACACTGCTAATGTTTATTAGCCGAGCAAACAGAGAATAGAAACAGCTGATGCTAACAGATGAAGCCATTTAAAATGAATGAGATGTGTAGGTTGTCTGTGTACCACCTATAAGTTAATATCTACTGATATCAAACATCTTCATCACAACTAAACACACAAACAAAAACAACATATAAAATCATGTGAGATCTGTAAAGCTTGTTGAGGTCCTCCCTCCTTCAGACAGCTGAGCACAACTCCAGCACAGTAAAGTAATCAGAGGGGAATCACTTGGTCGGATCATTTCTTCATCATCAGAAAAATAAGGAAATATCTCCTCTAAATTCATAATGGTTCACTTGCAGTAATTTATTGCTCATATGGCAGCTTAACAACTTGTTTTTCTAACCCTAGGCCAAAAACTCACCGTTTGTACAACTTTTAATAACCAGTGGGATTAGACCAGACAGCGAAAATCTCAAGTCCGTCAAACTATTTCTCTAGGAGGAGTTTGTTAAAGTACGGAGTGTGTAAATCATCCAAAAATGACCATAAAATTCAAAATGGCTGATTTCCTGTTGGGTTCAGGGAATCTCTCCAAGAAGCTTTTTGGTTCGTCTGGACATACATGTAAGTGAAACGTGCGGCGGGGGCTGCTTCGGGCGCTATGACTGTGGGTGAATGTTGTCTTGTACAGGTGTTCAGGGTGGGACTCTTAATAAACGTGTTTGTCATAGAACATAGCGCCACCTGCTGGCAACAGGAAATTACCTTCAACGAAGCAGCCCCTGCGGCACGTTTCACCTATGTGTACGAAATTTCTTTGGTACGTGTATCATGTCCAGAGTACAAAAAAGCCTCTTGGAGGTATTGCCTAAACCCAACAGGAAGTCAGCCATTTTGGATTTAATGGTCATTTTTGGATTTTTTTACACACTCCATACTTGAACGAACTCCTCCTAGGGATTTAGTCCGACCGATTTCAGATTTGTGCTGTGCACTCTAAACCCATTGAAGATTAAAAGTTGTACAAACAGTGTGTTTTCTTGGAAAGGCGTGCCCGTGGCGTCGACAATTGATGATTTGCCATAAAACAAGAATCTGTCATAACTTCAGTCTACATACTCACATCTGCACCAAACTTTACTTGTTTGATAAGAGTCATGCCCTGAACACATCTACAAGCCAAAATTCACCCATAGTCACAGCGCCACCTGCTGGCTACAGGAAGTGTCTATGTTTATGTTGTGTGAACCACTTTTTGCAGGTTGGCTATATCTACTTTAAAACTATCCCAGAAAACTCTTAACACATCGATGATGTCATGTTGTAATGAGTGTGAGTTTTCCTTCAAGGATGTATCCTTGGCGAAGTTCCATGCTTTGCTGTGAAACAGGAAGTCGTCATGACTTAATGATGCTCATGCTCAAATCTGTACCAGACTTTGTGTGCTTGATAACTGTCCTGCCCCGAACACATCTACACGCCAATATCCACTTGTAGTCGTAGCGACAAGTGCTCTGCAGCACCACAAAAGGGACACAGGAAGTGATGATTAACGCCTTCTTGCAGCGTCTCAAGCGCATAACACAGCTGCACGGGCAGAACTCCAGAATCTGCAACGCGGCCGCCTCACACCTACATGTGCAAGGGCCCGCCCAACACTGCTTGCAGCTTTAATTAAGTGTGTGACTAGATGAATATTTTTCTGTGTTGTGACAGCCTTCTTTGTGGCTATAAATGGCATTATTGATGCAGAAAGAGAGCTACACAATTGTTTATGATTGTCTAGTTACAGTTACCCTGATTCTAAATGATTTTGGCCTATTTACAAAGGGAGCTTAATATTTTAGAATACTTCTATAGCTGTTTTTCATGTTTCTGTTTCAGTCAGTACCGAATGTATACCTATTGATGTTTTATTTAATTAACAAATATTTAGTATTTATTGTATGTTATAATATATCTATACTAATAATAGTGGTGGTAGTAGTAGTATTTATGTGCAAGTAGTAATTCTGCTCCTTATACTGATTTCTCTAGCCAATACTGCAAAAATGGGACTAGTTGAGACCAAACTTGCAATTATTCCTGGAGCAGGTAAGGTTGGATTTCTTTTTTTTAAAATATATGATTTCCACTTATGTTTTGTATGTACACATCAAGACTTCAAAAAGTAAGGGTTAAAAGTATATTTATACAGAGGAAATTACTAGGCTGTACACATGGATCTGTTTGGTGAAATACACGTGATCTTGAGAGCTGCTGTCCAGTGCCATGAGATGCTACTGAGCTTCACAATCCCTATCAAAGGAGGATCTAGTGACAGAAATGCAATATAATATCCATAACCAGCGTTTCCCACAGGATTTTGTGAGACTATGGTGGGTGGACATCGACCCTCTAGTGGGGTTCCGGAGGCATGGCCACCTGGAAGAAAAATTTGTACATTAAAAGCTAAGTGCATTAATTTGGTGCACTTTAAAAGCAAAATAAAGACGGTAGATCAATGAAGAACATTACACTCCTGTTAAAAATGTTTTGCCCTAGTAAACAATTTCATAAACGGTGTATAGATGTAAATGGTAATGAAACAGCAAAAAAGTCAACTGATTTATTTGTTTCTCCAGTAACCCTAATTCAAAGAATTATTTGTAAGTAATGCCTCTAACATTTTATTTTACTTTTAATGGACGCATGTAACATGTTTAATACTAATCCTCTTAATTCCTAATCTAGTTAATCTTATTTCCATATTGAAAACCACATTGTCACATGTGTATCCTCGCTCAACATTCACCAACAACGCAATTTGATAAATTATATTGTATGTTGTGCTCGTATTGTGTACAATTAACACTTAATAGCCTCTCTTGAGGTAAGACGCTCATACTGTATCACTTGTCGTTAACCCTGCCTGTCAGCTCGCTCTGCTCCTTTTTAACTGCTTTATTATAAAGGCTCTAGAGTGAAATTTAGAGCCTAGTTTGAAGGCGTTCTCACAAACCAGTGACAGTGGAAACATTCAACACTGTTCAAACCCTTAACTTTACCATAATTGCCTCAAAAGAAAAGTGGTTGTCTCAAGTCGGATGTGTGAGTGCGTGAGTTTACAGCAGTTGAGCAAAACACGTTAGAAATCTTTAATGATAATACATTTTCAGTTAATTTTGAAACTATGGCGGAAAAAATTAGACTGTGCCAGGCCGCCATAGTCTTGTTAATTAATGGGAAAATCTGCATAAATATGTTTTCATTGGTGTATAAAGCCCTTGCGTAATAAACCGTTATGTTTTTATTACCTTAGAATGAGACATTTCTGTCTACATACACTGCGGGTCCCCCTTCCACGGACATCGCCATGTTGCGCCGTCATATTTCTACAGTAGCTGAAAACTTCAGTAATTTATTCATTATTATTATTATTGGCTAATCCATAAGTTTTTATCACAAGGGGAGATGCAGGGTGTTCAGGGTCTGTGGTTGAGGCCATGTTCCATCCAGGTTTCCCAACTCTCCTGTGCAGGTGGTACACAGCGTCTCCCCAGGGTGATTGGTGTCTCTCTTGCTAAGGAGCTCATCTTTGCTGCCCGGGTGGTGGATGGAACAGAGGCATGTCGTCTGGCTCTCGTCAGTCATTCTGTGGAACAGAATAAGAGTGGAGATGCTGCCTACCTGCGTGCTCTGGAGCTCGCCCGTGAGATCAACCCTCAGGTAACAAGACCATTTCACTGATGTGTATCAAGGAAATTATACATAAAGGGAAAAACAAAAAAGGAATTTAATGTTGACTTAATAAACAGCTTTTGTTCATTTTATATAATAATTGTAATATTTTACTCATTCATTTATATCACACCTTGTAAGCTTAAAAAGGTCTTGGATGTTTGCTCCACAGGGTCCAATTGCAATAAGGATGGCAAAACTGGCAATCAACCAGGGGATAGAGGTAAATCTTTTACCATTGCTGGCTGTTTTGCTGTATTGCTATTTTCATAACAGTGTTTCAGTTTGCAAAACTCTTATCATCTTTTGGAGTGTCTTCTCCACCCATGGCACTGCTTGGAGGTGATGTCATCACAATCATGGCCTGATGGAGAGTGGCAGGCTTATATGGACACCTGTCTTTCACCTTCCACCTCCACACTGAAAAGAACTATGATTGGTTGTTGGAATAGGGAGTAATGTGAAAGAAAAACAGGTGTGAATTCCAGATGATCAGCAGACCAGTCATTCAATTCAATAAAATTATATATATATATATACAGAGGCAAGGAAAAACTTCCTTTAAGAGGCAGAAACCTCGAGCAGAACCATGGCTCAGGGTGGGCGGCCATCTGCCTCCACCGGTTGGGGGTGAAGGAGAGAGAGAGTGGAGGGAGGCAGCCTACACAATATCTACACAGACGTACAGACAGTAAAGGTGATGTTGCTATAGACTAAATGAATAATGGTACAGATATTTACAGTAGTGTTAATGATAATAATCGTAATGTTAATGATTATAATAACAATAGGACTAATAACAATAGTTGTTGTAGCAGAGGGTGTCGAGGAGGAACACTGGGGCAGCAGGTGACTCGCAACACAGATCCAGACTCCACAGCTCCAGAGCCAGAAACACCTGCAGGAAGTGATAGGAGAGAAGAGAGGGACGAGAAAGCACAAGACTACTGGAAAGGGAAGAAGTTGAGTTAATAACATGCATTAATGGGATGAGGTTGCATACAGAGGGAGAGAAAGGAGAGGAGAGAGGAGCTCAGTGCATCATGGGAAGTCCCTCGGCAGTCTAGGCCTATAGCAGCATAACTAAGGGATGGTTCAGGACTCACCTGAGCCAGCCCTAACTATAAGCTTTATCAAAGAGGAAAGTCTTAAGCCTACTCTTAAATGTGGAGATGGTGTCTGCCTCCTGAACCCAAACTGGAACCTGGTTCCACAGGAGAGGAGCTTGATAGCTGAACGTTCTGGCTCCCATTCTACTTTTAGAGACTCTAGGAACCACAAGCAACCCTGCATTCTGGGAGCACAGTGCTCTGGTGGGGTAGTTCTTTAAGATAATATGGTGCCTGACCACCTGTCAGAGCACATGCTGCAGCATTCTGGATCAGCTGAAGAGTCTTAATGGACATTTTTGAGCAGCCTGATAACAAGGAATTGCAGTAATCCAGCCTAGAAGTAACAAACACATGGACTAGTTTTTCTGCATCCATTTTAGACAGGATGTTCCTGATTTTCGCAATATTAATTGGGTAAAAAAAGGCGATCCTTGAAATTTGCTTAATGTGAGAGTTAAACGACATGTCCTGATCAAAGATAACTCCAAGATTCCTCACGGTGGTGCTGGAGGCCAGGGAAACTATATCTTTAGATGATGCATCACGGAGGTGCTTAGGCCCCAGAACAATAACTTCAGTTTTATCTGAGTTTAACATTAGAAAATTACAGGTCATCCAGGTTTTAACATTCTGAAACATCCTGAAACATTTGAAGTTCAGCTAACTGAAGAGTATCATCTGGCTTGATCGATAGATATAACGGAGTATCATCTGCATAACAATGAACGTTTATGGAGTGTTTCTTGATAATATTGCCTAAAGGAAGCATATATAAAGTGAAGAGGATTGGTCCGAGGACAGATCTTTGTGGAACTCCATGACTAACTTTGGCGCACATGGAGGATTCATCAACCAACCGGTTGAGGCAGATGGCCGCCCATCCTGAGCCATGGTTCTGCTCAAGGATACTGCCTCTTAAAAGGAAGATTTTGCCTCTGTCGCCTACTGCTTGCTATTGGTGGGAACTGTTGGGTTTCTGCAAGTAACATCACAGAGTATGGTCTAGACCTGCTCTTTTATGAAAAGCGCTCAGAGAACTGTTGTTGTGATTTGGCGCTATATAAATAGAATTGAATTGATGGCCTTGCCGCTTTGGCCTTTTTTTGAGGGCACAAAGGTCAAATGTCAAGTGGCCCTGCCCTTGAAATGATGAGATTCCAGGCCTGATTAGTCATGTATGAGGAGAAAATATTAATCTAGATATTTTCAGCTGCTGTGTGAACATTCACAAAGATATGCAACATTCTCTTTCAGGTGGATTTATTAACAGGTCTGGCAATTGAAGAGGCATGTTATGCCCAGGTGAGTAATTCAATTACAATTTGAACTGCTGTATGAAATCTACATTTGGTTGTCAGCCTAGCCAAGACTTGTGCCACATTTGTGAAATGTCTGACTGAATGGGAAGAACATTGGCCGGCTGATATGAACTAATTGCATTTATATCGGCATTTAGAATCAAAATCAGAAACAGAAAGAGTATATTGCCAAGTAGTTTTTACATGTACGAGGAATTTGCTTTGGTGATAAGGTGCTCCACGTAGACAAATATACAGTTAACTTACATAAATGTAGAGATATATAAAAACTGGAATAAACAGATGCAAGTTATATCAGAATGAAAAAAGAATAGAGAAAAATAATCCAACTGTTTGCAGAGAAAGAACAACGTGGCAGATATTTACATGTGCATTAGTCCGGGTTTGAATTATACAGACGTATTACAACGAAGAGAATACAGTGTACATAAATATATAAATTGACAAAATATAAAAATATAGAATAACAATGATTAACAATTAACAACAAATATGTGCAATATGGCTGGTTTGTGCATGATATGAATTTAAATGAAATAATATTTACACATGCAGAGGCCGATCATTGACTTATGTCATGGTTGTTACATAGTTTGCCCACCAGAGGGCGCTCTGCAGCTCCTCTCTTCAAATAACTGCCACACCACAAAAACAACAAAAGAAAACAATCAGCTGACTGCAGTTTACCACAGCAGAGAAGCCTCTGACTGCAGTGTGCAGATCCGGGAAATTCTCAGCATGGGTGGCGTTAGTTTGACCCCGGCCACATTGAGCAATGCCCTTCTGAGAAGCCCCGTGGAGGCCATAGACTGTATTTAAAAAAAAAAAAAAAAAAAGGTCTTTGCCTCTTTTGTGGAGCACGAGTGAAGCCATGTGTGATGACTTATCAAACCTTGTATTTGTCTGTGTTTAATTGTTTAAACTGTGTTTGTTTTAGTAAAGATGATGTAGAAGTCACCCGCGTTCATTATTGATCTCTTTACAGGAAATGCTATAACTTAATGTACACAGATCTTTCAGCCCGTCAATATGGTATAGTCTGTCTCATGAGAAAAGTTAACAGTATTATTAGTATGATTGGCTAGTAACTGTATATATGCTCAATGAAATGAAGTATTTATAATATTTACAAAATGAATAGCCCTGGGCTCATTAATGCGTAATGCCGACAATTATTTTATCGCATGTTAATGCAGCGGCAATTATTATTTTGAAAGTCCGTTGCTCACTGGCTCTGAATACACATACAGTCAAACCCTGGGTCACAGGAGGGGTGGGATGTTTATCAGCCTGCAAATCACCCACCCAAACGAGCAGTGGAGGGAGGCTTCGGCAGAATACTTGGATTCAGGCAGTGGGAGAAATGAGACAGTCTCCGTGAGTAAACGGCAGCTCTATTGAGAGTAACCATGGCAATGGCTTCTAATATTGGAATATAACTAATTACTTTGAAATGACAGTAAATATAGTCATAATGTATTATATTTTGGAAGTAACTTGCCCAACACTGATCCTGTGTATGTGCCAGCCCAGCGACACATGGACGCGCACACAAAATAATGAGCAATTGTATTTGCAGCTCACCTTGCCTTCCTCTTCCAACGTACCCTGTGTTGAAAGCAAAAACAGAACAAAATCATACTCTTGATCTGCTCCCATACTGTGTTTAGATTTGTTTTTGTTTCAGACAGTCTTTTGTTCGCAACAAGAGACTTGCTCAGTACGGTAGGCTATACAGAGCATGTGTTATTTTTAAAAAGACACTGATGTGTTCCTTAGGTCAAAGTCTGCTGCCATACATTTCTATAGGTAACTTTAGCTAATATTTGCCAAAAAATGTCAAATTTAAACGCTGTTGCAGTTTTGAGTGTTAGTCATTGCAGGTTTCATCACATACATATACGTTACGTCACGGACACAACTATAACATCCAGCAATCCGCAAACTATATGTATGGCCAAAGTTTTTCAGTTGATTGTTGCTTATGAACTTACGCGTGACTCCGACTCTTTCTCCTGCTGCTGCTTCTTCTCTTGATTAATAGCTTTATTCAAGCGCTTGATTGACGTTGCTATCGAACTACTCAGTTCACAGAATGACTGATGTCTGTAGCAGTGTTGTGTTATTCTGTCGCTACTTTGCGGCGGACTGTTAACTGTTTGTGCAGCAAATACACTGACTAGACACTGACTGACAACATTTATACTTAAATGTTTTGATTACAGTTTTGCACTAGGGACAATTCAGTAGTCACTGACTCTCTCTGTCTCTGTGCATGCTGATACGGCCTAACGTTGGGGGGGGGGGGTCACATGTTGTTGTTGAGTTACATTTGGGGCTGTCAAAACAATAGAATAATGATGTCAGAATGGGTCTTTCGTCTGTCTACCGTCTGAATTTATGCTTTCTTATAGACAGACATATTTTTAAGCAGGCTATAATAGGAGCAAGTATGAGCTAACCCGAGATAACCCCTGGGCTCTTTGTTTACTTCCGTACGACAGCGTGCCGCGTGTGACATCGTATTATTCTTCTGCGCATGTGTTCTCTTTAATGGGGGTGGGGTTGGACGTTTGGCGCCCACGTTGAGCACCACCGCGATCTGCACACTGCAGTCCGGGGTACTTGCCTGAGCACGCAGAAACAATGAAGGAAAGTGGCTGTGTTTCCGTGAGTTGGTCACTTGTCACGTCAATTAAATGCCTTGCCTTCATTACTACTTCTCTCCATGACCATAATTGCTAACCCTCCTGTTTTTCATTGCTCTTGTCCCAGCTTCCTGCAGGTTCACACCAGTTTGTTTAATGTTACGGTAGTTGAGGGGTGGAGACTAGGCTGCTGACAGAAGTGATGTATTTCTGAAACAGTGTGGTGTTCCAAACTAACGGTCCTCATTTCTGATTTCTGGTCCCGTATCTGATGCCCCGAGACCATGTTGGTGCAGCAGGATCAGGTTGTGAAGACATTTGGCTACACTGTGGTGAAGCTGAGATGACCGAGAGCAGTGTCTGTTGTGTTAATGCTAATATGTTTAATAATAAATAGCTACACACAGTATATCATGCTTAAAAACTCCTTCTGCTTTCTGCCTTAATGTAAATATTCAAGCTGACAGTGTATGAGCACCCTGTATATAACTAGTCAAAAAAAAAAAAACTACACTTATTTTATTTGAATTTGACTGATGTAATGTTTCAACCACAGATGATCTTCCTCAGGTAAACCTGAAGAAGAGAACACATCTGTATTTAATAGGCAATAAATTATGAAACATCACAGAATTATCTCCTAATTTGATTTGTTTGCCAAATCATAATTTAATCAGGGACAACAAGAAAATAATTTGTTTTTAAGCAATCTTACAATACTTATTAGAGTATAAGTAAGACACTATAATATTAATGTACAATTTTGTAATCTCACTTGATGGATACCCAGCATGGACTGTATTTAAAAATACACAGTATTGCCTGGGCCCCATTTCAGAAAGCAGGATTTGTGAAAACTGTATGTTCAGCCCGAAACGCTGTTTCAGAGATTGAGATCAGATAGATCAGTAGCCATGGCAACTGATGCTGTGAACCTATCCTCCTCGGGAGATGGTTTACTTCAACAAACGCTGAGATTCTCTCCGAGTCCTTCCGTCCTGTGGTGCTTGAAGCGGCCGTCTGACATTTCCTAATTTATACTGTCGATATCAGAGCACATACATGAACGCATTCATGTCTTTAGAAACTTTAGATAGGTTAGATAGGCCATTAGTTTTTACCCGAACATGCTCTTGAACATGACCGCTTTTATCATCAATGTAGGCCTATGAACCAAGAGCATCCAGAGGATTTATCCTCAGCACTGAATAAAATCTAGAGGCTACACTTTCCTTCTTCAAAACAGTGACTGAAACACTTACCGTGGGCTTCATTACTGCAGTAGTTAAAACTAATGAGAATAAAACTGATCAACAAACGGTAATCTTTCATATTGTAGTTATTAATTAGATATGATGCAGATGGTTGTGGTGCAGCTGAGACAAGTTAATGTAGTTTTTCAGTATTAGCTGGATAGTCTGAACATGTTTGGACAGCATTTCATTAAATACGAAATGAGCAAGATTTTTTAAATGTAAAATAAACGTCTAAAACTTTACAGTCAGTTTGAAGCAAATAAAGCATGTGCTGCAGTTTGTGTACGTCCCAGCGTTTGATCTGCATTCATAAACCTATGGACACCAATTTTCATTTCCCTGAGGAAATTCAGGGTTAGCTGCTATCAATGTTTGATTGATTGATTTATTTTTGATTGATTTACTGTTTGATTTAATATTTTCAACTTTAGTTATTGTCAGGTTACAGCTGAATAAATAGGCCTATTTAAAATGAATGTAATGGGCTGTAGGAGAAGTCTAGCACTTTATCCTTCATTTGGGAAATTCCACTCTGGTAGGCCTAAAAGATGAATGAGCAACGCTGTATAAAAAGTAATATTGTTTATGTATTATGTATCCTTTCCCCACTCCTGGGTTTTAACATAAATAGCCAATCATGGTCTGCACACATTCATATTTGTAGCTCCACCCGATTAAAATGGAGGCTCTGCATTATTTACCTGTTGCTGCCGTGGTGAATTGTAATATCCGCGCACCTTTGATGTGTGTTTTTCTTTTTCTGATGATGATGATCATATTCAACATACACAGAGTTGACTGAACTACTTCTGATCGGCTGTTCAACCAAAAACTCACTTTTTGCAAAGTAACAGTACTTTTACTTGAGTACAGTTTTTGGCTACTCTACCCACGTCATTGTTAGATTTCCTGACTAACTTGCCCAACACTGCTCCATGGCATTGAGCGCCATGGCATCGAACATAATGAGCCCAAAACTCCGGCTGGAGGTTTTTTGTGCGACATGTTGTTGTTGGCAAAGGAGGGCTGGGCAGTTACTTGCTGCTAGTTGTTTCTCAGACATTGTGTTTGCTGAAGATACTGAGCTTGACTGAGTGAGAGCATGCGCAAGGAAGGGGGCTGCAATTGTGAAACTGCGTTAGAGACTGCTTCTGGCTCTGTTTGGTTGTTTTGTTCAGGTAGCGGTGGATTATTGCAGATGGCATCAGGAGCAGTAGGAGGAGCCAGTGTTACCAAGTAATTGATATTTTTTTTTTTTTTTTTTTTTTTCACATGCGTACCATGAATCAGCTAAATTTACATACGGCAGCAGCAAACACACAAACTGACGTGAATCACAGAGGAGATGGTTGCTGAGCTAGCTCCACAACAAGCTTGGTTGGAATTGCGGTCTAACGATATGAAATCCTCCCATCATGAAGCTTTTAATGTTCAGTTAGAAGGTTCTAATGTTTAGTTTTGTTGAGAGGTGTGGATTCAGCATTATGATCATTTGAGAGGCTGTAGTTTGTCTTCCACTGAGAAGTTTTTTTTACAATTAGTTTAAGGTGTGAAAATATAGCAGGGTTTCCCTGTGGAAATGGGTTAACGGATGCAGTAAGCAATGACTTGAGACTGAAGATCAAGAGTTCATCTTATTTAGTACTGACATATATGTGTTGGGGTTTTTTTTCAAGGTGATACCAACTAAAGATCGACTGGAGGGCTTGGCTGCATTCAAGGAGAAGAGGTGTCCTCACTACAAGGGGGAGTGAGGCCACACACCTTCCAGAAAAAATCACAGAATTCTGCCTTCAGCTCTCCTACGGTTCCACTGCTTCCAACATATTTATGGGTTAAGCTGTACACGTCAACACATTAACCTGTACAGTACCCAGGAGACATCTGTTTGACCGGAGGACATTAGGGTTGATCCTGGCTGGGGTTTATGCCAGTGACTTCAAAAATCAAGTGTAAAGAACTTTCTGTGTGTGTCAGCTACCACTTCAGTAGAAACCAAGCAAACTACTCAAGCACTGCCCATCATCTACAACATGAATAACTTTAAATGGTTATTGCTGTTTTCAGTACAACTGGCACTAACCAAAACCTCCATGACTAGTGAACCAATCAGAGAGCCATTGAAATTTCTGTAAGAGTCTGGATTCCCTACTCCCTGTGCTAGTTCCAAAAACACTGTACCAAGATGGATTGAGTGAAAACAGCGCATAGCCTAAATCAAGTATAAACACAATTGTTTTGGTTTTTTTCACTAATCAAAGCTTGTGCCATCAGAGTAAGGCAAAACACCTGCCTCAAAAATAACCCGTACTTCAGTTTCTAATTGAACTCATCGGCCTTGTGTGTAGTACAAAATTAGTCCATTTGAAATTATTAATTTGATTGTCCAACAGAATGCAAACCATGTCACTCAGAAGTTGGCCATCTCAAGCCCTTGCTGTACCTGGTAGGCTCATATCTGATCACATTGATAGACACTGATTTTGGAAGCTTCTTCTGTAAACAGTGGTAGCTTTAGCCCATCACTACAAAGCATCACTACTTCTACAGTGGGTACAGTCTGAACATGTTGGTTCCAAAACAACAGGAGGCTCACATGACTTTAATCAATATAATTTAAAAGATGTAATCAAAGAAACATTCTACATGTGGTGACTTTCAATAAAATAAAAAGCTCATTCTCATCTTGCCTAGAAGTTTTCAATGTATGACGCTTCAAATTGCTTAGTGATCTTTTAACACCAGAAAATGTAAATACATCTTAACGTATACATATTTGATCTAATGCCTTTTGTATGGAAATGTGTTTTATGACATCTTTCAACCCCTGGTTTGATTTCAGTTGTCAGTGACCCCTCAGATAGGCTGGACTGTAGATCAACTTTATTAACCCCACTAGGGGCAATTAGTTAAGAGCAGCATGCTTTCAACATTAATAACACAAAATACATTCAGAAGATACAAGCAGCAAGATTCTGCACATTTGAAACCCCATAAAGAGCCCCACAGGGAGTTTAAAAGTCTGATTGCCAAAGGGATAAAAGATTTGGAGTGGCAGCTCATCTTACACACAGGTAGTGCATAACGACGCCCAGAAGGCAACAGAGAGAATTAATCTGCCAGAGCATGTCCTGGAGAGGCTGGGATTCTTGCTGCCTTCTGGACTATTTGTTAGTTGCAGAAGGCATTAAGGTCTCTCTGTTTCACTCCAGTGATTTTAGAACAGATTTTTACAATGTTGTTCAGGCTGTTCCGGTCTTTAGCTGTCAGATTGTGAAACCAAATAAAAGAAAACCTTAAAACATTCTCACTAAATGGATGGAGGGTAATACAGGGCAATCTCGGAAGAAAACCTGTTAGTTGGCAAAACACATGAGATTGGGGCAGAGGTTCACCTTCCAGCAGGACAATGACCCTAAACATACAGTTAGAGCTACGATGGAATGATCAAAGCATATTAATGTTTTAGAAATACAGACATAAATTCCATTGAGAATCTGTGGCAAGAATTGAAAATTGCTGTTCACAGACGCTCTCCATCCAGTCTGACTGAGCTTGAGCTATTTTGCAAAGAAGAATGGGCAAAAGTTCCTGACTTTGACTGGCGTGACAGAGAAAGAGCCTTTTCCATGCTTACAATCATGGGGAGGGGTGACAGTCGTTAACGGGAACAACACATTTTAATTAGGGTTATTGGTTGCATTTAAAGCAATACGTTTTACATTCAATCAAAGTTTGGATGTTAACAAATAAATCAGAAAATGCAAAAGCAATTTATTGATATTCCAAAGTTATGGTCTTGACTGGTCTTGAAATAAAATCCAGAGTCCTCAATGTTTGAGACCGAGACAAGACCGGGTACAAATGAGGTCGAGTCCGAGACAAGACCAAGACCATCAAAAAGTGGTCTTAAGACTGGTCTTGAGTACTATGACACTATTGAAGACATTACTTTGATTCCCCTCCAAGCTGCACAATGATCCCCATTACTATACTTCCACTTAATCCTTATACATGATTTTAGCTTTCCTTATCCTGTTCCTTACTTCTCTATTGATTGCTTTCTTTTCCTGGCTACACTCTGTATAAAAAATTTGATTCTTTTTAGTCAGAACACTTTTTAATTCTTTAGTTCTATAGAGGGTGACAAGGGACTGGATTTTCTGTTTGATCCCAATCCCACAAAAGTCCTGTCCTGTCCCATTCCCAGAATAATGACTGCCATCCCATTTCGTTCCTGATAACAAAATCTGAAAATAGCATTTACTTACAATCAGAATCAGTGGCAGCTTTATTGCCAAGTAGTGTTTTACACATACGAGGAATTAGCTGTGGTGATAAGGTGCTACACGTAGATAAATCGTAAACGTAAAAACGTAAATAAAAAGAAATAAATATATAGATATGGAATAAACAAATGCAAGTTTTATTAAAACTGCTAATTTATATATATATACAGTGGGTACGGAAAGTATTCAGACCCCTTTAAATTTTTCACTCTTTGTTTCATTGCAGCCATTTTCCAAAAAATCAAAAAAGTTCATTTTATTTCTCAGTAATGTACACTCAGCACCCCATCTTGACAGAAAAAAACAGAAATGTAGAAATTTTTGCAAATTTAGGCCAGAAGAAGTCAAGTCAGTCTAATTTATGTAGCTTAGTATCACAACTCACAATTTCTCTGAAGGGGCTTTATAATCTATACAGCATACAACACACTTGTCTTTAGACCCATGACAATTAAGAATCAGAACAACTAAGACAGAAGAATCACTGCACATCCCACATTCAAAGCGTAAATGTTTCACCAAACCCATCTGATCAGATCACACACAAACACACAGCAACCGGTGTTATGTTGACCCTTGCTTGGATGGAACACAGCGCATACAGCTGTTTGTGGAAACCACAGGAAGATTACAACACAAATCCACTGCAAATAGGACTTTACGCATGTGAACTGATTACATTGAATTAAATAATTAATATAAAAGTAATGATCATGTGACATTTAATATTGTGGACTGCAGAAAATTGGCAGCTGGTGCTCTGGACTGAGAATGTGAAATATCTGGCTGCAGCAGAAGGCAGTTTGTTCGCCAAAGGGCTGGAGAGCGGTGCAAGAATGAGTGTCTACGGGCAACAGTGAAACATGGTGGAGGGTCCTTGCAGGTTTGGGGCTGCGTTTCTGCAGATGGAGTTGGGGATTAGGACAGAATGAATGGTCTCCTCAATTCTGAGAAGTACAGGCAGATACTTATCCATCATGTAATGCAATCAAGGAGGCATTTGATTGACCCCAGATTTTATTCTTCAGCATGACAACGAGCCCAAACATACAGCGAAAGTCATTAGGAAGTGTCTTCAGCTTAAAGAAGAACAAGGAGTCCTTGAAGTGATGGCATCATCCAGTCTGTCTGGGATTACATTAAGAGAAAGAAACAACTGAGGCTGCCTAAATCCACAAAAGAACTGGGAGGACTTCTCCAAGATATTTGGGTAAACCTACCTTCAAGAAGAACTGATGCTGTTTGAAGGAAAGGGATGGTCACACCATTGATTTCATTTAGATTTTTCTTCTGTTCACTCACTTTGTATTTTTTTGTTGTATTTTGTTAATTGATAAATATAGTCTACTAACATGTCTATTTTTAAAGGCATCTCACTTTACAGCATTATTCCACACCAGGCTGAAACTTTTGCGCAGTACTGTATGTGTGTGTGTATACAGTACACACTGAAGTGTGTGCGTACTATGTATTTTATATTGTTAATAAAAAATACATAACTCACTCTGTGATGTGAGAGATGTCACAGAGGCTACAGAGCATTCTACACTCTGGGATTAAGATTGAACATGCAGTGCTGATGGTAGGGTCAGGGTTACCATGAGGATATAAAAAGTAGGTGTGTGCGAGTCTGAACAGACTGTTGAGGCCCTGGCCAGCAGTTGCGTGCAGGCCTGCCCTGTGGCTTCATGCTGCTGCTGCACAGAGCCTGACATCAGGCTTCACATCCCCACTGTGGCTGGCCTCCTTCCGGCAGATGTCCCAGCAATAAGCCGGGGGGAATCCCACCACAAGCCAAAGTTGCGTAAAGAAAGACCGGTTCCCCAATACTGGAGGCCTGAACCCCAGCCGCTTCTCATGGGAAGCGTTAAGGGTCTAACTGTAACTGTGTCCTTCACAGCATTTGTAGTTAGTCTGTTTGTGTTATTTTTTTAGGGACACTTTTTGTCACCGCAATATAGCCCAGCCTGGTCATGCCCAGGGAGCTGCTTCTGTTTTAACTGTTTCTTAACAGGTGGTTTTGAGCCTTAAATTCCACTGGAGGTTATCTCAACGGTCTGTATATATTGCAGTAAAAAGTTTCAAACTTAGTTCATCTTTGGCTTCAGTTCAGATTTATGTTGTAGAAATTAGTGATGTCTGTACATTATCCTCAGTGGACCCTGTTTGGAAAAATGCACATCTCACATTCATTGCTGTCAGCTCCACAAACTAAATTCCCTTCACCTTCAGAGACATTTTGACATGACATACTATTAACATGTACTATGTACACTATGAGAACTGACAGTGAACCAGCAGCATGCACAATCCCTGGACCCTGAAACTGAGGTAGTTAAGCGGAATTCACAATCATTCATTTAATTATGGAAATGGATGGACAGCATTTTCCTTCAATGAATAATTTAACTTTAGTAGAGGTGTTACTTACAGGGTAGCCGTGGGGTCTTAAAAGTATTATAAAAGCATTGAAAAGGGCAGCCAAGAAAAGGCACCAACCATGGTCTCATGCAGCCTGTTGTTACTCTACATTTCTGTGTATTCCCATCTACACTGGGATTTGAAAATAAGCTGTTGACTTCCCGTTCCCTCAGTTACAGCTAATGCTCTACATACTGCCAGCTGTTTTAGTGGAGAGGATTGTTGCAAACATGTCCCTGGAAAAACGTGACGGTTGACAGGTAACTTATGCTTCTGTGTCTTATCAGTGAAGTGTGTGGATTTGCAGACTGAAGTCTCTGTTAGTGAGAACAGACGCATACATCTTCATTATATGCCTGTCTCCTGTGAAATGTCTACATCCTCACAACAATGCATTATTATAATTCATTCAGTAGAAGAGAGCAAAATTCAGCTTAATAAGTCTTTTTTTAATAGGCCTATGTATTTCATTATTTATCATTAGTTTGTTTGTATTGTACTGTATAACTTTAGTTTTGTTGTGTTATTTTGGTACAAACTACCATAAATAAGCTACAAAAAATCTGGACCTCACTAACTTCTGAACCCTGGTTACGGCCCTGTTCATTATATGTACATGTATAATGAATCTGTCAATAGAATGGTCCCAAAACAATTAAAGTGCACTCCAATTGGTCCATGTTAAAGAAAAGTCAACAAAGTCTGATAGTGCTGTAGCTAAATTTAAGGATGCGATTCCAACAGCCATACATTATCTAGTCACAAAGTAACGAAGGACTCCTATGCTAATTTCAGTCCCTCCCAAATCGATCATCTTGTTGATAGTGCTGCAGTCTCGCTGCGAATGACACTCGACTCTGTAGCCCCTCTAAAAAAGAAAATAATAAAACAAAGACGGTTAGCTCCATGGTATAATACTGAAAATTAAAGCAAATATCGCGGAAACTTCCGCGTTCCACCAAAGTGGAAAATTCTCGTTTAATTTGGCAAGATAGTCTTAAAACTTATAGGAAGGCCCTCCGTAATGCCAGAGCAGCCTACTACTCGTCATTAATAGAGGAAAATAGGAACAACCCCAAGTTTCTTTTCAGCACTGTAGTCAGGCTGACAGAGAGTCACAGCTCTATTGAGCCAAGTATTCCCATAGCTCTCAGAAGTTTCGACTTCATGAGCTTCTTTAATGACAAAATTCTAGCTATTAGAGACAAAATTCACCAAGACCTGCCCTCAACTGGCACCGACTTATCTCTTAACTCAGGAACCTTAGAAACAGCTGTAGAATGTTTAGACTGTTTTGCTTCCCTCAATCTACCTGCCTCTTAGACCCCATCCCGACTAGGTTGCTTAAAGATGTTTTACCCTTAGTCAGCACTTCTATACTAGATATGATCAATCTATCTTTATCAACAGGCTATGTACCACAGTACTTTAAAGTAGCTGTAATTAAACCTCTTATGAAAACGCCCAAACTTGATCCGAATGTTTTAGCCAACTATAGACCTATATCTAACCTTCCATTTCTCTCTAAGGTCCTGGAGAAAGCAGTTGCTAAACAGCTGTGTGACTTTCTACAGAGCAATAGTTTATTTGAGGATTTTCAGTCAGGATTTAGAGCTCATCATAGCACAGAGACAGCACTGGTGAAAATTACTAATGACCTCCTTATTGCATCAGACAAAGGACTTGTCTCTGTACTGGTTTTATTAGATCTTAGTGCTGCATTTGATACCATTGACCATCAGATCCTATTGCAGAGACTGGAACATTTCATTGGCATTAAAGGAACCGCTCTAAGCTGGTTTAAGTCCTATTTATCAGATCGATTTCAGTTTGTACATGTTAACGATGAGTCCTCCATGCATGCCAAAGTCAGTCATGGAGTTTCTCAAGGATCTGTCCTCGGACCAATCCTCTTCACTTTATATATGCTTCCCTTACGCAATATTATCAGGAAACATTCCATAAGCTTTCATTGTTATGTAGATGATACTCAGTTATATCTATCAATCAAGCCAGATGAAACTCATCAGTTAGCTAAACTTCAAATGTGCCTTCAGGATGTTAAAACTTGGATGACCTGTAATTTTCTAATGTTAAACTCAGATAAAACTGAAGTTATTGCTCTGGGGCCTAAGCACCTCCGTGACGCATTATCTAAAGATATAGTTTCCCTTGATGGCATCGCCCTGGCCTCCAGCACCACTGTGAGGAATCTTGGAGTTATCTTTGATCAGGACATGTCGTTTAAGTCTCACATTAAGCAAATTTCAAGGACCGCATTTTTTCACCTACGTAATATTGCGAAAATCAGGAACATCCTGTCTAAAAATGATGCAGAAAAACTAGTCCATGCATTTGTTACTTCTAGGCTGGATTACTGCAATTCCTTATTATCAGGCTGCTCGAAAAAGTCCGTTAAGACTCTTCAGCTGATCCAGAATGCTGCAGCAAAGGAACCAGGAAAAGAGATCACATTTCTCCTGTTTTAGCTTCTTTGCATTGGCTTCCAGTAAAATCCAGAATATAATTTAAAATCATTCTTCTTACCTACAAAGCTCTTAATGGTCAGGCACCATCTTATCTTAAAGAGCTCATAGTACCTTACTACCCCACCAGAGCACTGCGCTCCCAGAATGCAGGGTTACTTGTGGTTCCTCCAAAAGTAGACTTGGAGCCAGAGCGTTCAGCTATCAAGCTCCTCTCCTGTGGAACCAGGTTCCAGTTTGGGTTGAGGAGGCAGACACCATCTCCACATTTAAGAGTAGGCTTAAGACTTTCCTCTTTGATAAAGCTTATAGTTAGGGCTGGCTCAGGTGAGTCCTGAACCATCCCTTAGTTATGCTGCTATAGGCCTAGACTGCCGGGGAATATCCCATGATGCACTGAGCTCCTCTCTCCTCTACTTTCTCTCCTTCTGTATGCAACCTCATCCCATTACATTACATCCCGTTACTAGCACAACTTCTCCCCTTTCTGGTAGTCTGGTAGATGTAGTCGTCCCTCTCCTCTCTCCTCCTATCACTTCCTGCAGGTTTTCTGGCTCTGGAGTTGTGGAGTCTGGATCTGTGGCTGCGGGTCACCTGCTGCCCCCGTGCTCCTGCTCGACACCCTCTGCTGCAACGACTATTGTTGCTAGTCTTATTGTTATTATTGTTATTATAATCATTAACATTACGATGGTTATCATTAACACTACTATAAATATCTGTACCATTTTTCATTTAGTCTATAGCAACATTACCTTCACTGTGTGTACCTCTGTGTGTATATTGTGTAGGCTGCCTCCCTCCTCTCTCTCTCTCCTTACATCCCTCTCTTTTTCTCTCTGGTCCTCTCTCTCTCTCTTTCACCCCAACCGGTCGAGGCAGACGGCCGCCCACCCTGAGCCATGGTTCTGCTCGAGGTTTCTGCCTCTTAAAAGGAAGTTTTTCCTTGCCTCTGTCGCCTAGTGCTGCTCTTGGTGGGAACTGTTGGGCTTCTGTAAATAGCATCATAGAGTACGGTCTAGACCTGCTCTTTTATGAAAAGCGCCGTGAGATAACTGTTGTTGTGATTTGGCGCTATATAAATAAAATTGAATTGAATTGAATTGAATTGAAAAGTGGACAAAGGGTCTAGAAAGAAATATTCCTGAACAGGAACAACAAGAATACACATACACATACAGTCAAACCTGCTTTTCATATCCAACCCACCATATCAGGAAGAAGGCAATACAGTGTATTTTTTTAATATATTTTATGTGTCTTTGTTCTACTACATAATATAAATATTGTTATTATATATTAACTTTTTTCTTTATGTGGATGATTAAAACTATAATATCTGATAATAAACATTTCCTTCATTTTGGGAAAACAGTGGCCATTATTTTTATCACATGAAAGGAAAAGAAAATATCCAGAACTGAGGCCATGTTACTGAAAGCAGTCAGGAAAAAAATGCAAAAAGAGTCACATGGAAAGCAGCCTAGCTGTGCAATCATTACAAGTCATTCCTGTGGCTTCAGAAACGTTACTTTGACTCTGCTGCCACCTGCTGGTATAGCAGTGTTTCACAACTCATCAAAAACAAAGATTAACTGCTGGACTCAGCATATTTTAATCAATTTTCACAATTAAATAAGGAATTATTCCTAGCTAAGCTATGTTAAATCTCAGCTACAAATTTGCTGAGACTTTACATTCTGCACTTTTAGAACAGTGTGAACAGTGTAATGACCTAGAAACAGAGAACACACATTTTAAATAGTTATGTATATATTTTTAATAGCAAAATAACAATTCTTCTTGTTTTTATTTCACACTTGCTTTGGCAATGCAAACGTCTGTTCACCGTGCCAATGAAGTCCCACAAAATTAAATTGTTTAGGTCCGCTGATTTCATATCAAACAACATTGAGAGATACGCATTTCGGTTATAGAAATGTTTCTGTTTTCACTTTTGCGTATATTCTACAATTTGTTGATTTTTTTGTCCTAAATATTTGTGCTTTTGCATTTGTATGTGTTTGTCCTGTCCTGGCCACTGTAAAGTGATATACAGAACTTCTGAATAAATTTGGAGAATCTCATACTTTATCTTGGCATTGATGATGAGATTCTTGTTCATTTATTACAGAGATACATGTAAACTTGGTCCATATATGTTTTAGCATTAGTTAGGAATCACAATAATGGGATTTATTTATTTACAGAAACTGATAATCCAGTTTTATCTCTCTTGCTTCTGGACACTGTGCAGTAATAATCTATAATAATCCATGCTGACAGACAATGTGCAATAATAACCTATACTGCTAGACACTACTTGAACAGTTAAGTTATTTCTCATTTATACTTATTTAGCTCTTATTTATAGTTAATATTTAGCTCTTCTTTTATATTTCTTATTGAACTGGTTGTACTTGAACTTGTTTGTTTAAATTGTGAATTTTAATGCATCTTTGGGTTGTCACAAAAGTAATGTCGTGCTACACAATGACAAGAAAGTGCTTGAATCTTGAATATGCTAAAACACTTTCATTACATTTTTGGTTCAACTATAATGACCTTGCATGGTGCACCTATAATACATAAAATGCACTTATAGTATAAAACACATCTGCCAAATTAATCATTTGTGCATGCTTGTTCATAGAATAAGCTGGACTTGTATTGTTTATTACAACTTTCATATTCTTTACATTCAGGAAGGAACAAGAAAAGTAATAAAATAAATGTAATTTGCATAATTACGGTCTTTGTTCAAAAGTTCATCCTCCAGGTGAAGTCAATATTTTACAACAGAATTTATCATTCATAACCATCTCCATGATTAAATGCAGTTTTTCTCATCAACCAATAGTTTGCATAGTCTCGTAACATCCATGTGAGGAATCACTGTGCAATGTCATAATAATACTCTCGTAGTCTTGGCTCAACAACAGAAAATCCAGGCCTTTCATCCACCCTGGAAGACATGAAAACAGCAAATAGTTATCAAAAATTAGGTGTCCTACCACACAGCATATTATTCCTAGTTGGTGTAAGACAGTCTGTTGTTAATCCAACCATTACCTGATGATGATTTGCCACTTACTTGTATGTCCAGCAGGTCCTCATGAGGTCATACATCTCTGGTGGACAGTTTGCTGGGGGATCCATACGCTGTCCACTTTCAATCATCTGCATGACTTCATTTCCTTTCATTCCCTGTGAACAGTGGTACTTTAAGATTACGCAGAAATTGTTCAGTACCTCTGAAAGCAATAAAAAAATTGCTTATTGATTTTATATGAAATAATTTCTCTGGAATCTTTCATATAAGTAGTGAATCTTTTTATGTAATACCTCAGACTGCTCATTACATAACCTGAAACTTATACCCTGGGAGGACTGTGATACACACAATCAATATGTCAGTACAATTTGTAGACCACAGTAGCAGAAGTAGTCACTTTACACTATCAAACATAAAATGTCATACAACAACACCATAAGTGAACCACACATTTTCAAACATCATGTCTCAGGTTGGTTAGAACTTATTCATACCTTGTATGGTTTCTGGCCACAGGAGTAGGCCTCCCACATGAGCACCCCAAAGCTCCACACATCACTTTTGCATGAGAATTTGAAGTAGTTTATACACTCAGGAGCGTACCATTTCACTGGCCATTTCCCATGACCCTTGGCCTGGAAGAGGAACAGTGGGTGTTATTTTATGTAATGTTTCAGTTATTCTGATGCTCATGATATACATTTTTTTGTTTGACTATGATTAATGGCTGGGCGTTGAAAATATGCTCTTGGCAATGACATACAATATTAAGCAGATAGGATCTTGTTAATATTGCATGTATCCATACTTTTATTTCAATTTCTTTTCCAAAACATTATCAAAAGAACTTTATAATTATAAAATGTTGAAGGAAAAAATGTTTATGCTTGTCTATGCAACTCTTAAATACAAAAAGCCGGTTCACATAAATTCAATTAAAAAAATATTTTACAAAACCATTTCATAGAGGTTTATTAATATTGGGATATTCTTTAGACCTATTGCCCACTCTACTATTTCTCTGTAATGAGTTGGAAATAAGCCATGGGAGGTCTGGATGGGCTAATCCATCCATTCTCAGTCTACAACAAATAAACTGTATCCATCACTGTTTATCAGCTGTCTGTCAGCAGTTACCTTGTAGTAGTTTTGCTCCTCAGCGACAGCCTTGGAGAGGCCAAAGTCACTGATCTTGGCGTAGTGCTGCGTGACCAGCAGCACATTCCTGGCAGCGAGGTCCCTGTGGACAAAGTTATGCTCCTCTAGGTACTTCATCCCCATAGACACCTGGTGGACCAGCTCTGTGATGTTCTTTATGGTTGTTTGCCTGTAGATGATCAATTGCTTTTTTAACTATAAGAGTTGTTAAAATTATTTTATTTATCAAGTGATAGAGATGAAATGTTAATTGTAAAAAATCATTTGAGACACCTTTTAAACTGGAAGAAAACTTGGTAATAAAGTGTGAATAACTTAATAATATAGTTTAAATGCTTGCACCACCATCTTTAACTGAACTTAAAACTTTGATGAAACTTTCCATAAAATCTAGTTCTGTGATAACCCTCTCTACCAATTTGCTTACTGATTTGTTGTTCTAACTCTACTGGCGACCAGGATGATTCCATTGGACATGCACAGGTCGTTAGTCTACAGTTCAAGGTCTAATACACATAAAAAGACCCCCACACATAAAGGTCAAATAATTCAGTGGACACCGGCGTGCTGCTGAGCCATTCATGATAAACTTTTCATTCAACAAGACCCATATAAAGAAGCGCTGAATGCAAAGTAGGTTAGTAACAGCTCAGCATTGGCCATCTAACGTTAGCTTGCTTCTTGCTTCAGCTACGACCTATTGGAGGTTAACCCCGACTGTCCTTCGTTATGAAAAGATGAATGAGCGTTTGTTTACTTGCCAATCTTGTGGTAACGTTAATCAATTAACGTAATTATTTACTTCCCGCTGTTGTCTGACAGTATTTAATAAGCCGTCAATAATTGCATTGCACATTACATGGTTGTGCTCTGTAAGTGAAAAACAGGTTACACTGACAGTATTCCTTATAGCTGTGCAGATTTATGAACCGACTCACTGTTTTAACCACACCCTCGACCTTGTTTTGGTGTATGGTATTGAAATTGAACATTTAGTGGTGTTCCCACAGAATCCCTCTTTATCCGACCACTGTTTGATAACTTTTGAGTTTGTATTGCTGAACTACTCGCCATTGGGCAAAACATTTTATACAAGATGTCTGTCTGATAGTGCTATAGCTAAATTTAAGGATGCGATTCCATCAGCTCTAAATACATTATCTAGTCACATAGTAACGGAGGACTCCTATGCTAATTTCAGTCCCTCCCAAATCGATCATCTTGTTGATAGTGCTGCAGGCTCGCTGCGAATGACACTCGACTCTGTAGCCCCTCTAAAAAAGAAAATAATAAAACAAAGACGGTTAGCTCCATGGTATAATACTGAAACTCGCAAATTAAAGCAAATATCACGGAAACTTGAGAGGAATTGGCGTTCCACCAAACTGGAAAATTCTCGTTTAATTTGGCAAGATAGTCTTAAAACTTATAGGAAGGCCCTCCGTAATGCCAGAGCAGCGTACTACTCGTCATTAATAGAGGAAAATAGGAACAACCCCAGGTTTCTTTTCAGTACTGTAGCCAGGCTGACAGAGAGTCACAGCTCTATTGAGCCAAGTATTCCCATAGCTCTCAGTAGTTACGATTTCATGAGCTTCTTTAATGACAAAATTCTAGCTATTAGAGACAAAATTCACCAAGACCTGCCCTCAATTGGCACCGACTTATCTCTTAACTCAGGAACCTTAGAAACAGCTGTAGAACCAGATACATGTTTAGACTGTTTTGCTTCCCTCAATCTTTACCAACTAACTTCAATAATTTCTTCATCTAAACCATCAACCTGCCTCTTAGACCCCATCCCGACTAGGTTGCTTAAAGATGTTTTACCCTTAGTCAGCACCTCTATACTAGATATGATCAATCTATCTTTATCAACAGGCTATGTACCACAGTACTTTAAAGTAGATGTAATTAAACCTCTTATGAAAACGCCCAAACTTGATCCGAATGTTTTAGCCAACTATAGACCTATATCTAACCTTCCATTTCTCTCTAAGGTCCTGGAGAAAGCAGTTGCTAAACAGCTGTGTGACTTTCTACAGAGCAATAGTTTATTTGAGGATTTTCAGTCAGGATTTAGAGCTCATCATAGCACAGAGACAGCACTGGTGAAAATTACTAATGACCTCCTTATTGCATCAGACAAAGGACTTGTCTCTGTACTGGTTTTATTAGATCTTAGTGCTGCATTTGATACCATTGACCATCAGATCCTATTGCAGAGACTGGAATATTTCATTGGCATTAAAGGAACCGCTCTAAGCTGGTTTAAGTCCTATTTATCAGATCGATTTCAGTTTGTACATGTTAACGATGAGTCCTCCATGCATGCCAAAGTTACTCATGGAGTTCCTCAAAAATCTGTCCTTGGACCAATCCTCTTCACTTTATATATGCTTCCTTTAGGCAATATTATCAGGAAACATTCCATAAGCTTTCATTGTTATGCAGATGATACTCAGTTATATCTATCGATCAAGCCAGATGAAACTCATCAGTTAGCTAAACTTCAAATGTGCCTTCAGGATGTTAAAACCTGGATGACCTGTAATTTTCTCATGTTAAACTCAGATAAAACTGAAGTTATTGCTCTGGGGTCTAAGCACCTCCGTGACGCATTATCTAAAGATATAGTTTCCCTGGATGGCATCGCCTTGGCCTCCAGCACCACTGTGAGGAATCTTGGAGTTATCTTTGATCAGGACATGTCGTTTAAGTCTCACATTAAGCAAATTTCAAGGACCGCATTTTTTCACCTACGTAATATTGCGAAAATCAGGAACATCCTGTCTAAAAATGATGCAGAAAAACTAGTCCATGCATTTGTTACTTCTAGGCTGGATTACTGCAATTCCTTATTATCAGGCTGCTCGAAAAAGTCCATTAAGACTCTTCAGCTGGTCCAGAATGCTGCAGCACGTGTTCTGACAGGAACCAGGAAAAGAGATCACATTTCTCCTGTTTTAGCTTCTTTGCATTGGCTTCCAGTAAAATCCAGAATATAATTTAAAATCATTCTTCTTACCTACAAAGCTCTTAATGGTCAGGCACCATCTTATCTTAAAGAGCTCATAGTACCTTACTACCCCACCAGAGCACTGCGCTCCCAGAATGCAGGGTTACTTGTGGTTCCTAGAGTCTCCAAAAGTAGACTAGGAGCCAGAGCGTTCAGCTATCAAGCTCCTCTCCTGTGGAACCAGGTTCCAGTTTGGGTTCAGGAGGCAGACACCATCTCCACATTTAAGAGTAGGCTTAAGACTTTCCTCTTTGATAAGGCTTATAGTTAGGCCTAGACTGCCGGGGAATTTCCCATGATGCACTGAGCTCCTCTCTCCTCTACTTTCTCTCCCTCTGTATGCAACCTTATCCCATTATTGCATGTTACTAACACAACTTCTCCCCTTTCTGGTAGTCTTGTGCTTTCTCGTCTCTCTCCTCTCTCCTATCACTTCCTGCAGGTTTTCTGGCTCTGGAGCTGTGGAGTCTGGATCTGTGGTTGCGGGTCACCTGCTGGCCCTGTGTTCCTGCTCGACACCCTCTACTGCAACGACTATTGTTGCTAGTCTTATTGTTATTATTGTTATTATAATCATTAACATTACGATGGTTACCATTAACACTATTATAAATATCTGTACCATTTTTCATTTAGTCTATAGCAACATTACCTTCACTGTCTGTACCTCTGTGTGTATATTGTGTAGGCTGCCTCTCTCTCTCTCTCTCTCTCTCTCTCTCTCACCCCAACCGGTCGAGGCAGATGGCCGCCCACCCTGAGCCATGGTTCTGCTCGAGGTTTCTGCCTCTTAAAAGGAAGTTTTTCCTTGCCTCTGTCGCCTAGTGCTTGCTCTTGGTGGGAACTGTTGGGCTTCTGTAAATAGCATCATAGAGTACGGTCTAGACCTGCTCTTTTATGAAAAGCGCTGTGAGATAACTGTTGTTGTGATTTGGCGCTATATAAATAAAATTGAATTGAATTGAAGTGAATTGAATTTATAAGCAGCCTGGATTAAACGCAGCAGGTGATACAACATTCATTATTACCACGAGAGACTTGACTTGCTCAAAGACTTGTGATCACCTCTGATATATAGATGTATCAAAACTCTGTGTAACATGTCAAACCACCACAGCTATCTTGAGAAACTATCAACTTTCAGTTTAATATTTTGGAGGGCCACAGTCTATATGGATTGGGGCCATTATAAATCTATAGGTACGACCGTCAAAAAATTAAGATGAAATTGGTTGTTGTTCTTTTCATAACAATGGTAGTACACTCTTGAACAAAATCTTAAGACTAGGGGAAACATTGCAAGTACTCACATTTCGCGCTGGTGGATCATAACCGGGTTGTAAGTACTGCTTCAAAATGACAAAAGAAGAAACAGGAGCAAGAGACAAAAAATAAAGAGTAGGCAATTTATTGAAAACTGCATTTAAACTCAAACAGGCTGTTCCAGCTGATCAAAAGTTTAAGACCATAGCCCAAAAATAAACCTACAACAGAACTAAAAGTGTCAAAAAAGGACTCAGTAGTGAGTAACCCCACCGTTCTTGTTGATCACTTCAAACACTCGTTTCGGCATGCTTGATGCGACTGTTCCCAGGAGGCTGCTGGGAACGTTGCTCCATGTGGTGAAGATGGCTTCACGAAGGGCATCCACGGTCTGGAACTGATGTCCGTTTTTGTAAACTTCCCTTCCCATCCATCCCCAAATGTTCTCAATGGGATTTAGATCAGGAGAACACGCAGGATGGTGTGAGCAACGTTATTCTCCTGGAAGAAGTCCTTCGTCAGGCGGGCGTTGTGAATTGCAGTGTTGTCCTGTTGAAAGACCCAGTCATGACCCTCAGTCAAGAGGTATGCCCGCTGCAACATGTCCACATAGCCAGTCGCCGTTTGACGCCCCTGGACAACCTGAAGCGCCATTTTCCTATTGAAGGAAAAAGCACCCCAAATCAATGGAGCCTCCTCCACTGTGCCACGTAGAAAACATCTCCGGTGGGATCTCCTTGTCATGCCAGTAACGTTGGAAGCCATCAGGACCGTCCAGGTTAAATTTTTTCTCGTCAGAGAATAAAACTTTCATCCACCTTTCAATGTCCCATGTTTGGTGCTCCCTTGCAAATTCCAAACGGCAAGTTTGTGGCGTGGGAGGAGACGTGGCCTTTGAAGACGTTTTTTGTTCTTGAAGCCCTTCTCTCACAGATTACGCCCATAACTCTCAGGATCTTTTAAGAAATGTAAAATGACTGTCTTACTGCGTCCAACCTTGACAGTGATGGCGCTTTGCGAGAGGCCTTGCTTGTGCAGCTCAACAATCGTGCCACGTTCAACAAGAGAAAGCCTTTTTGCCTTTGCCATCAGGAGATCATGACAGTGTGACTGCCTGAAGATCAATGACACGAAAACTATATTTTTGTGCAGATTTGACCTTTTTATGCCTATGGTCTTAAACTTTTGATCAGCTGGAACAGCCTGTTTGAGTATAAATGCAGTTTTCAAGAAATTGCCTACTCTCTATTTTTTGTCTCTTGCTCCTGTTTCTTCTTTTGGCATTTTGAAGCAGTACTTACAACCACCAGTGCAAAATGTGAGTACTTGCAATGTTTCTCCTGGTCTTCAGATTTTGATCAAGAGTGCATAACAAAAAAATCTTTGCATTGTTACCTTGTGTACTGTTTAGTTGCCTTGATAGAGAAAAAGTACTGTATGAGAGATGCAACTTTATTACAAAGATCACTGTCCTTTACTGCCTTTTCTTTGATGTTCAATTCAGGGATCAAGAAATTGTCTCCTTTGCCACTGAGAAGAAAATTACACTGCCACAGGCCAGTATCTTTAAAAACGTAACTTAAACTAAACAGGTGTGTATCATAAATCTGAACTAAGCAATGTCTGCAGAATACCTCGTTGGAGTACATACTTGTTTTTCTGCAGGAACTTGTTAAGTGGTCCTAGCTCAGCCAGCTCCATGACCAGCATGAGGTTTTCTGCCTCACAGATACCAATCATCCGGACAATATAAGGATTGTCCAGCTGCTGCATGACATTGGCTTCTCGCAGCATTTCCTCTCGTACGGATGGGTTGTTGTCATCATTCTTTAGGATTTTGACTGCAACTGGCTTCTCTGTCCTAATACATAGGGAGGATTAGTGTTAGGATGGTTTGTATTGACACTCACAGTAAATCACATCTTTTAAACAACACAAACAAGGATCAACACAACGCATTGTTAAGGATGGGATAAGGTTAGACAAGTACACAAACTAAGTCTATATATATCAATACAATAATTCATCATTCAATCATGTACAAATAAGATAAAGGTTGTTTAAGAAGGAATTCAGAACCACTATGACAAAGAGGCCAACATTTACTGAAATGTGTCTTTCCTGTTTATATTGTACAGTCTTTTTTACAATTGAGAAGGTGCATGAGCTTTCTAGGAAAGCGTAGGTTGCAGAGATCTTTGGCCAGTTAAGGATATTAGAATTATCTTCCATCTTTCTATGTTATCTGCATCATTGACTGTCTGATGTAGGATAAAAGTGAGTTTGTAAAGTTAGAGATATGAAATCATGAGGTCTCTTATTTCAAATCCCATTACATTACATTTATTCATTTAGCTTACGCTTTCATCCAAAGTGACTTACAATTACTATATAGAGGTCACACGCCTCTGGAGCAACTAGGGGTAAAGTGTCTTGCTCAGGGACACATTGGTGTACTTGAAAGATAGGTTCACAGCTCTTCATATCTATCTTAGGTGCCCATATCAGTTTTTGTAATCCTTCGTCCTGCTCATACTGGCCATTAAATCATTTCTTTCTAATGCACTTCACAATGTAAGGGATGGGAGACAAAATCCCCTGTAACCTTTCAGTGCATATGCATTCCAAGGTTTATCTGATGTTGATGTGAGGCTTCATTAGTCTGAGTTAAACAAATCAAGTGAGTATCCTCTTTTTAATTCCCAAAATTCCCTCTTTGTGTTACTTTCCCTCCACTGCAGCACATGAACACAAAGAGTGAATTTATACTAAAAATTACAACTGTTGCCACTTGTTTGATCACTGAAGCCTCATATTTGCTTCAGATCAATATTTTAATAATTTTATGCGCAATTGCATGCATGCATTGCAGTATTAACAGGAGGAACGATTACAACAAACAAAAACTACACTTAAGCAGTTTTAAAGGGAAGTTATGGAGTTTCCAGCAGCCACTAGCGGTGTGTTTTTAAAATTGCTACCAGGCGTGTGCTCGTCCACGTGCTCGCTTGAACTCATGAGCAAGCATAATCCGAAACACAACCACTTTCCTACAGAAATCCTGCAGTAAATGCAGAAACACCATGTAGTGAACAACGGTGTGGATTTGTGCATTTTACATTGAATAAATTTGGAGCTACCCTAAATTCCTTTCTCCTCCCCAGAGAAGATGGGGAGGGGTCAAAGTTGCTTTCTCTAAGTGCTAGCCCGATCATAAAACTGGCACCTTTTTGATTCCGAAGCTGATAACGCGGGGCCTGACTGTTAAACTGACAAAGGGACACGAACCAGCCATTGGCATCTCCCTGAACAGCCTATCAAAACTGGCCCCCCACACACGTTTCCGTGGCAACTGACCTTATTCTTTGTTTTATTACCACATCCAAAAAGGAAAACCCCTGTCTCACCCAAGTGTGACATGGTCCAGACACTGAACTTTCAATGTAAAAGGACTGCAGTTTCCAAAGACTCAAAGCATTTAATTAAGTTTAATTAAATCTTTAGTTACCTGATTATGTTTGCCTCCATTTGAGTAGTTATGTTAACTGTTGTTGCTATCTGTTGTTGATATTAGTGCTGAAAAGAAGTTACTTGTGCAGTGTTTTTATTTTCAGCAAGACACTCATTCATCTAATGTAACCAATGCTTGGTCATAATACTTTCCTACAAAATTCCTTTAGAAATTATGACAAAGGAAGGTTTTACTATACTCTTAACTGCCGGCTTGAATTTAAGGATGAATCAACAATATTCCCAGTTCCTAAGGACAGACGATCTTTGATTTAATCTAAGCTTTCCTCATGTAACCTGAGCTCCCCCAAGGGGACGAAATAAGTATTACATGCCCTCGTTGGAAATGCCATTAAATCTGTAAATATCCTGACCAATAATGTGACAATTGTTTCCTGTTACCAAATGCCTAGAACAGTACAACCGTTCAACCATTGAGGTTCGATTGTGGAAAATATTTGATTATAATACGTGCAAATAGATTTCTTTTCTTTAGACATTAAGTTTAGAAAGGCAGTCCCATGGGAAACCTGAGACGCCCCCTGGGAAACCACGCCCCAGGCAACAAAAGAGCGACACGCGACCTCGCTTTGTTCTTCTCTTCGCTATTGGCTCTCTTCCACTCTGCTCTGCCCTCTGGACACTTCAGCCTTCAGTTTGTTTTATTTTCTTTATTTCTTTTGTTATCAGTCCGTTAAGTTACACTGGACTAATTCAGGAACGACCAAATTCCATTTTAAGCCTTTTTCGTCGAGCCAACTTCACCGAGGTCAGACCAAGCCACGTGGTCTCGCCAGCTACAACGAAGGAAACCTGAAACAGCTGAATTGCCAGATGGAGGAGGCGTTTTCAATCAGACACGGAGAACGTCTCGGGTTACGTATGTAACCCTGGTTCCCCGAGAAGGGGAACGAGACACTGCGTCGGTTACGACACTATGGGAACGCCTCTAGGCGAAGCAGGTCTGAACGTGAATGAAATCATTCCAATCCTATTGGCTTGTTGCTAGAACGGTAAGGTGTGACGGAATAACCGGAGGAGTATAAAGCACACCTGTACACACTCATCATTAGCTTAAACTATGAAGCAGGCGCTTCAGGCGGGGAGAGAGGTGCGGCGGGCCGACGCAGTGTCTCGTTCCCCTTCTCGGGGAACCAGGGTTACATACGTAACCCGAGACGTTCCCCTTCGAGGGAACTCGAACTGCGTCGGTTACGACGCTATGGGAACGAGATACCCACTAAACCGTGCCGAAAACCCTGCCTGCCCCTGTGTGCAATAAAGTGGCACGACTAAGAGGAGAGCGCACGAGTGCCAGGTGCCGAAGGAAGGTCAAGATTGTAAAACCGAATGAATGTGTGCGGAGTGGCCCAGCCAGCCGCTAAACAAATCCTGCAAAGAGACCCCGGAAAGGAGGGCTCGAGAGGCCGCCATGCCTCTGGTAGAATGAGCACTCACAGCCACAGGTGAAGGCAAACTGCGCACCTGATAGGCCAGGGAAATAGTCTGAACAATCCAGTTGCTAATAGGGAGAGCCCTGGGAGATCCAAAACACACTAGCAGCTGGTCAGCCTTCCTCCAACGGGAGGACCTCAGAGTGTAAATACTCAGTGCTCTGACAGGGCAGAGTAGATGAAGTCTCCTGTCCTCCGCTGTCACATGAGGTGGACGATGAAATGCCTGCAGCACTGTGGACCCTGCCGCACAAGAAGGCACTTTAGGGATGTATCCTGGACGAGGGTGCAGGATAGCCCTAATATTCCCCGGGGCAAACTCCAGGCTTTGCAGGGAAACCGAAAGCGCTTGGAGATCCCCCATGCTCCTCAGAGAGGTGATAGCAAGGAGAAAGGCCATCTTGAGGGTCAAGTGCTTAGCCTCAGCTGACTCCAGGGGTTCGAAGGGGGCCTCAGCCAACGCCCGAAGAACCACCGCCAGATCCCAAGTGGGAACCTTGGACCGAGTCGCAGGTCTCATCCTCCGGGCACCACGGAGGAAACGTACAACCAAGGGAAGTTTCCCCAAGGACCCCAGAGGGGTGTGGAAAGACGAAATAGCTGCCACGTACACCTTGAGGGTGGAAGGGGAAAGACCAGCAGAGAACCGGTCCTGGAGGAACTCAAATACCTGAACCACCGGGCAGGTAACAGGGTCCACCGACCGCTCCACTTCAGGCTGTACATCCTCCGTGTGGACGGGGCCCTGGAGCTCAGGAGGGTCTCGACTGCTCCGGCTGTTAGACCCGCCTCTAGGTACTGTGCCCCCTCAGGGGCCAGACCCACAGTCGCCATATGGCGGGGCAAGGGTGAAGAACCCGGGGACAGCAGGTCTCTCCTCAGAGGGACCCGCCACAGCGGGCCGTCCAGGAGCGACATGATGTCCAAGAACCACACCCGGGTTGGCCAGAACCGGGCTACGAGAAGTAGGCCGACATTGTCCTGGCGGACCCGCTCCAGAACCCCCGGGAGCTGGAGGAACGAGAGAAAACCATAGCGGGCAGTGCGTAGTCTCTTGAGACGCAAACAGATCCACGTCTATGGGGCCGAACTCTTCGCACAAGAGCTCCACCACTTCGGGGTGAAGTCTCCATTCCCCGGGCCTCAGCCCCTGCCTCGACAGCAGGTCTGCTCCCTGATTCTGCGTCCCCGGGAGATACATCGCCCTGAGCGATAGTAACCTCTGCTGGGACCACAGGAGGATCTGACGCGCCAGTCTGTACAGAGGGCGCGAGCGCAGACTGCCCTGGTGATTCAGATAGGCCACCACCGCTGTGTTGTCGAAACGAACCAGGACGTGGTGGCCTTGGAGATTCGGCAGGAAACTCCTTAGAGCCTGGAACACTGCCAACATCTCGAGACAGTTGATATGCCACTCGGATTAATACACCTGCCAGGATCCCCTTGCAAAGCGGCCGTCCATGACCGCGCCCCAGCCCGTCAGGGAGGCGTATGTCAAAATGACCAGCCGGCGACAAGACCCTCCCAGCACGGGCCCCTGGGACAGGAACCAAGTTTCCTTCCAAACTGATAGGGAACGAAGACACTTGCGCGTAACCCAAATCAGACAGAGAGGATTTCCCCTCGGGGAAAAACCCTTGGTCCTTAGCCACCACTGCAGGGGTCTCATGTGCAGCAGTCCAGATGGTATTACACTGGATGCAGCCGCCAGGAGACCCAACACTCGTTGAAAGTGTTTTATAGTGATGGCGTGGCCTAACTTCACCCCTTTCACGGCAGCCAATATAGTATCGACACGTGCCGGAGACAATGTGGTGCGACATGGCTGGAGGGTAACGCCGGCTCCTCCGGGGAGGACGCAAGTCGAGGGGAGAGATAGCTCGCAAGCGCATCCTCCACCCGAGGCATCCTCCCATAACCACAGTCCCTAACCCCCCATCACATTACTGTAGTTCAGTGATCGGGGTGTGGAAAGCCATGTAGAGAAGGGTCTGCCCCATGATTACTCAGTTCATCATGTAAATCAGGAAAGAATGGCAGAGACCGGCGTGGAGGTGGTGCGTGGTGCTTAAGAAACCTTTCATCAAGCTTACCACTAGCCTGTGGTGTCTTCTCCTCCTGTGGCCAGTTGATGTTGAGCTTAGCCACGGCTCTAGTCACCACCTCCAGCAGCACGTCATAGTCGGGCGCCGCCAGATGACGCCGCCCCGACACCCGGAAGTCATCGTCCACTACGCTGAGCACGTCCGCCTCCTCGGAGTCGGATTGCTGCAGCGTCTCTGGATCCAAACCGCGAGCGGGAGAAGCCGAGAACGGGCTCCCGAACGAGGAAAGGAAGCGTCGGAGCCAGCGGATGACGGTCGGGAAAAAGCCTCAGCCGTCCCGAAATCCTCCGACAGATCACGCTGTGAACCCCATGAGTGAAGCCGCCGGGCCGCCGCAGGGCCCACGCCACGGGGAAAACACATCTGGCCATCCTCAGAAAAGAGAGCCATGCGGGACCTCAGTACCCGCACGGAAAGGGCTTCGCAACGAGCGCAGGCAGCCCCCTCGAGAGCTGCCCGGGCGTGCTCCATCCCCAAACATGAGACACACATCTCATGAGACTCTCCGTGATGTACCGAGGGCAAGAAAAAAAAACACACCTTCTGTACATCTGGTTGCCGGACATGCTGGTAGACTTCTTCTTCAGGTAAGACACACTGCTTGTAGGACTGGAGCTTTCTTCAAACAATATACAGAGCGCCTGCTGAATAGAAAAAAGCTAATGATGAGGAGTATAAAGCACACCTGTACACAGGTGTGCTTTATACTCCTCCGGTTATTCCGTCACACCTTACCGTTCTAGCAACAAGCCAATAGGATTGGAGTGATTTCATTCACGTTCAGACCTGCTTCGCCTAGAGGCGTTCCCATAGTGTCGTAACCGACGCAGTTCGAGTTCCCTCGAAGGGGAACCCCAGAGAATCCCTAGCAAAAAGCCAGGATCGGGCAGCTAGCGTGGGACCCGTACAACAGGCCAAAAGCAGGCTGTCGACAAGCAGTAAGACTTAACACACGTTCTGTGATCAGATGTCCATTTCAACTCCTAAACTTTAGCATTAGTTTACTTTCATTAGCTCTTCTATGCCGTATGAGTTAAATGCTTCCCACAATCGAACCTCCAGGCTCAATTCTCATAAATTTATTAAAATGCATAACTAAAATTTTTTAGGTCTGCTACAACCAGCATGCAGGCTGTGGCTTTTCATTCAGACATGTTCAGGCTCTGTTACTTCAACATTCCCATCTCAGAGGCAGATCAACACTGGCACCGTACCTTTCATTCATAACTGTAAGCCGTTTTACTCCCCCTGTGAGTTTGCTTAATTCACTCTGGTCGGTGTTTACATTCCGCCCCAGGCCAACGTTCAGGACGCACAGAGCATGCTGGCCGACCAGGTACTGTGTGTGAGTAGCTTGTTATTGTTCTTGGTGACTTTAACAAAGGAAAGCTCTGCCAAGAACTCCCCAAATCCAGACAGTTTATAAAGTGTTCAACCAGAGAGGGGAACACTTTGGATCACTGCTACACCACAGTTAGTAGTGCCTATCACGCCGTCACACGCGCCCCACTGGGACACTCTGATCACGTCATGGTCAACCTGATTCCTGCATACAGGCAAAAAGCTCTGTAAACCTGTATTGAGGACATCAAAGAAATGGACCAATGAAGCTGTAGAGGATCTTCAGGCGTGCTTGGACTGCACTGACTGGGATGTTTTCAGGACTGCATTCCAACACGCACCACTCAGACAGCTGAGGTTGGAAAATGATGAGGCATTTAGGAGTGGGGACCAAGCTGGGTGCAGGGCGTTAAAGTACAGGTTTAGAAAGGAGGTGCCAACAGGTCTGTTGATGATGCAGTAAACATGGCCCTTCACTACATCCTCCAGCTCTGCTTTCAACACCATCATCCCGGCCCTGTTGCAGGACAAGCTCTCACAGCTGAACGTGCCTGACTCCACCTGCAGGTGGATCACAGACTTCCTAACGGACAGGAAGCAGCACATGAAGAAGGGAAAACATGTTTCTGACTCCAGGACCATCAACACCGGTTCCCCTCAAGGCTGCGTTCCTTCCCCCGTTCTCTTCTCCCTGTACACCAACAGCTGCACCTCCAGTCACCAGTCTGTCAAGCTCCTGTTTGTTTGCAGACGACACCACCCTCATTGGGCTCATCTCTGGTAGGGATGAGTCCGCCTACAGGTGGGAGATCGACCATCTGGTGACCTGGTGCAGCCACAACAGTCTGGAGCTCAACGCTCTGAAGACCGTGGAGATGGTCGTGGATTTTAGAAAGAGCCCAGCCCCACCCTCCCCCATCATCCTGAGTGACTCCCCCGTCGCCACTGTGGACTCCTTCCGCTTCCTGGGCACCATCATCTCCCAGGACCTCGAGTGGGAGCTGAACATCACCTCCCTTACCAAGAAGGCCCAGCAGAGGATGTACTTCCTGTCGCAGCTGAAGAAGTTCAGCCTGCCAAAGACAATGATGGTGCGCTTCTACACCGCCATCATTGAGTCCATCCTCACCTCCTCCATCACCATCTGGTATGGTACCATATGTCTCTGCACATGTAAACACTATTTCATTTCACATCATGCACAAACCTGGCATATTGCACACATTTGTTGTTAATTGTTAATCTTTGTTGTTGTATATTTTTATATTGTCAATTTATATATTTTGAAGCAATACGTCTGCACTACACAAACCCAGAATAACGCACATGTTCAGCAAATAGTTGTATATTCTGCAAATAGTTGTATTATTTTTCTCTATTCTTTTTAATTTTCTTTTATAACTTGCATTGTCTATTCCATATTTATATACAGTATTTCTACATTTATTTATGTCAGCTGTATGTTTGTCTGCGTGTAGCACCTTATCACCAAAGCAAATTCCTCGTATGTGTTAAACACTACTTGGCAATAAAGCTCCTTCTGATTCTGAATCTGAAACTGTACATTTGGGTTTTGTCTAATTGAAGCTACAAGGCGTTTGATTAATAGGATAAATAAATAGGGTTATATGATGATATTCCTTGTTTAAATCCCAGAAAAGAAACACAGCTCTTGTAACCTGTCAGCCACCTTTCTCATCTAATGAGGCTATGATGCATGGTGTTTCAAGATGGGATTGAGTGGTGTCTTTGGATAGCTCTATTGAAGGTTGGCAGCTCCAACACTGTTGGAGAATTTGAATTAGAATTTTCTTTAGAGAAACTAGGTAGGTAGGTAGGTAGGTAGGAAGGTAGATTTATTGTCACAATACAAGTTGTAGAGTGAAATTGAGTTTTGTAACTCCCTTCTAAAACATAGCAGACAATATACATTAATAAAGAATCAAACTAGAGAAAGAAATGTGATTGGTTATCTAGTTATCTTATCTTTTATTTTAGTCCAATTTTTTTTATTTTAAAAATTCACTGCAATTGTAGGTTGTTTCCCCTTTATGCTGTTTAATTAGTTTGGTAGTATTTTTCCAATTGTATCCTGAAGCTCAATTACTGTAACTTACTATACTTACTGTAAATCATGAGTATGATTTATGATTAGGAGAATAATATCAATAGGGTATTATGACAATATATGACAATCCATAATCATGGTATCATAAAATACTGGGTAATTAAAGTGGAGAAATGGTGCTATTTGTATGCAGGTGTAATGTGATGTGATTTAGCATACTTCCTCATCTTGTAGATGCCCTTCATGACTGTACCAAAGTTCCCAGAGCCCAGTTCTCCATCCTCCAAGAAGAGTTGGTTGCGATCGACCGTGGAACTCCGGAGTTCATCTGGATCTGCGTATGGACTCTCATATACCTCTGTGTCCATTGGCATGGCCTCTGATGGAGAAATTAACATGTCACATAAGATGAATAGTGATGGAGTGACTGACACATCAGTCTGTCTTGCAGGGATGTACTGGGACTGAAATTCAGCCCGGGACTTTGAGACGGAGAGGCCTTTTATGCGAGCACCATGATTTCTTTCCCAGCCCTGCACACTGCCCCTGTACCTGTCACTGTTTCTGGTTCCATTGACCTCCTCCTGCTGCTTCTCTTCATCGTGCTTCTCATGCAGCTCCTCCTCTTCCTTCTTCCTTCAACTGCTGTTTATAATATAGCCATGAATATATAATATAGCCTATATGCCTATACATAAATGCATTTATAAATAATCTCAGGTTATAGACTAATAGCATTACTTAGCAGTGCCTGTGCTGCCACAGAGATCGCAGAGATCACAAAACTCCCAGCTGGAAAGTAAACTCCTTTGATCGACGCCTTTGAGCCAATCAGATTTCAGCAAAAACAAGGATCGGTCCAAGTTCGGAGGGGCCGCATGTATCCCCCCTCTATATTGAAAGTATTGGTTTGGTCCAGTCTGATAGACACAGGCTGTGTCCGAAATCACCCACTACTCACCATATAGTGTACTATGTAGTAAGCTCACCATTTTGTGGTGCTCTACGAATGTACAGTGAGAATTATTATGCCATGTATCCCAGAATGCATTTTGAAAAGTAGTGTACAACCGATGGTCACTAACCAAGCCCTATATACCATCATGCATTGCGCTGATAGAAAAAACACTGCCCGATGGCAATGACGCAATTAACGGCGCCGAAATAACGATCGGGGTAGTGCTCGAAAGTGTTGTTTTAATAATGCGAGTGAGCTCACTATATATTCCTCTACATACAACTCTCTACATATAGTAGTGAATCCAAAGTTTCACAAGACCAGATTTTTTTGTCCATCACAATTTTTCTGTACATCATCCAGATGTCTCTTGATTTAAGTTAAAACCTTAGAAAATTACTCAGAATTTAATGACAGAATAACAGCAGTACGAACGTTAAAACTATCTTACAGCTGTGGGTCTTTGCCGTTGTTGCTGGACTCTGCCGTGTTGGCTACAGAGGTCTGCATGTCTGAGGGCTCTGTGAGCTGATCTTGCCGGCTGGCTCGTTAGCTTTCCCCCGCGGGCTGGTTCACTAGCTCCCCCCGCTGACAGTTGCGTAGCGCCACTCCGAAAATGATTGAGCACATTTTTGATTTCGCCACATTTTTAGTAAAATTGCCAATATTCGACGCCTACACAGTTGATTTCTCACCTCAAAACTTCTCAGAAGTGGATATAGTGATGAAACAACATATGAAAATAGTAAAATAAACGTTCTGTTGTCGGCCTCTCTCTCAGCTTCTTTCCGCCCCTCGCTTGAATGCCGAAATGAATGCTGGGATATCTCTGCCGTCAAGTTCACACAAGTTACCAACCGATGCATCTTCGGTAAAATGGGCGTGTCAAGAACACTTCCGGGATTTTTAACCATTCTTGCCAAAATGTAAACTTGTGTATTGGGAAAGTACATGGGCCACAAAAGATGACGTTTCACAAGAACACAAGAACAGAAGTACAGACAAGAACACAGATTGAGAAAGGCCCAGTGTTCGCTACAGCCAAATGGGAAGCTTCCGGTTAGCAAACTGATGCAAACGCGCAAGTCCCTTAAACCTGCATTCTATCAAACAGCCAGCGACTTTTCTTTTGCAAAAAGAAGTCCGGCTCCATTAGAATAAATGGTAAAATGACCCATTTCAGCTGATTTATTACCTGAGTAAACACTTTCCTAATGAGTTAATGGTCTCAATCGCTAGTGTCAGTTCATTCAGTAAATTATTGTCTCATTTAGAGGAAAATAGACCATAAAGCAGAGTATGCCTCAGGGCGGGATTATCTATGATTGACAAGTCATTACCATAGCGACCTGTCAATCAGGCTTGAGTGACTCGTACCCATGGCACTGTGTAAATTTTGTTAGCAGCTGGCTATTCACTTTCTCTGGTGATTACATTTATTTTTAAGCCTGTTGTTTGCTAGACAAATTGTCAGCCCTGTTAAAATGACAGAGAACGTGAATAACAGATGCACCTAGCAAGCTGGCTAGCTCCACACACGGCCATTAGCTCCACTCTCTCATCCAAATATGGTCAAATATCAGCCAAACTCAGGGCTTCAAAATGGCAGTCCACAAACCGAGTGACATCACGATGACTACGTCCATTTCTAATATACAGTACTCTTGAACAATTCAATTCAGTTTTATTTATATAGCGCCAAATCATAACAACAGTTATCTCACAGCGCTTTTCATAAAAGAGCAGGTCTAGACCGTACTCTGTGATGAACACCATCTGGTTTGACCTGAAATGGACCAGCTGTTCAAGAATGTTCCCAAAATTCCCAATTGCGCCCCTGCTGTCTTGTACAGTATGTGAACTTGTAATCCAGAAGCCTAGATTGTCAGTGGCTTCACATACATTCAAACATTTCAGTTTGATCATTCTGTAGGCACCTTACTCTGTCATTGGACTGAGCCATTTTGCTACCCATATCTTCTCCATATCTGAAGTTTTTGTCAAGTTAATATGAAGCTTCAGCAGTCGGAGTTAGACAAATAAGTTAAGTACAGATGCGTGATAAGTTAAAAGAAAAGCCAATATGAATTGTCTTAGTATAGATCAGGCCACCACGAGTCTCCAGAACAGCTTCACTGCTCTGCCGTGAAACTCTGTTGGACAGATGAACACCGTTCCTCCACATCATATTTTTATTAATTAATATATTTATTATTATATTCCCTTATTTATTTTCAATCTTTATTTAATCAAGTAATGTCAGTTAGATAAAGACCTCTTGTGCAAGAGAGAACAGCAGATAGAAAGGAAAACAAACATAGTCAGACATAAAAGGACATCACTAAATAGATCTGAAGATCAAAGTTCATATCATTTGGGCTTATGGTGTACTACAAACTACTCAGACTGCTGAAGTGCATTAGAAATTGTAATTTTAATAGCTAATATAAACAGGAGGAATGACTACGACAAGGAAAAATTGTGTTCATATGGACATGCCACTTTAAGGCTTGGTTAAAGGAAGACTAAGGTTTTCCATCAGCCAGCAGTGATGGGATAAGTAGAAGCCATAGTCACAATTTATAATTTCCGTTCTTTTTTAAAGGTCCAGTGTGTTATATTTCTGATGCTCTATTGAAAGAAATACAATATAAGATCCATAACTATGTTTTCAGTGGTGTATAAAGGCCTTACATAATGAACCGTTATGTTTTTATTACCTTAGAATGAGACATTTATATCTACATAACCGCTGTGGAGGTTGCTGTATTTTGTCATCATGTTTCTACCGTAGCCGTCAACGAACAAACAGGCTACCGAGAGCGTTTCGTCATCACGCCGTTCTTCTTCTGCTTGTGTAATTCTGGTAGTGTAGACGCCCGTCACTACATTAAATACGTACAAAGAAAAAGAAGAGGGAATAATAATAATAATAATAGTAATATACAGTCTCTGAGTAGTCTTCTGGTTTATTAGAAGTAAGAAGAGAAGAGACATTTGGACAACTGAAGGAGCACACAGGTGTTATATAGCACGAGAGCCGACAGCCAGACGGAGTGGGGACAGACAGCTGAAATCACGGATTTTGTGGATTTTCCCAGATGGAAGGCTATAAAGTTAATGTGGGACAGATGTTTTCAAAGCGGCGCTGAAGTTGTCTGTTTACTGCTGGACAGGTAATTAACTTTGTTTGTCAGACTTTAGCAATATAAATGCAAACTGTTGTTTGATAGCTTTAGCAATTAGCTGGCCATAATCACAGAGAAACTTAACATGTTTCCCCTGTCAGTGATGTGAAATATGGATTCATTTCATGTCGCCTACTTATTCTCCAGCCTGTGGTTTGGCTTTGCTGGTTACGGTTACGTTAGCGAGACAACCAGCTGATCAGTAACATTAATTGGCAATAAAACCGTAATGTTAGTTTAGAGCATGGAAGCATCAGCCAGCTAAACTTTTACTGCGCTGAAAAAAATATGTAGGTGGATTGTAACTTCATGTAGTTCTTCTCCAGCGCTCTGTTATGGCTTTGTTTGTGGACAGAAATGTACCATTACCTTCCTGAGACAAACAGATGATGAATATTATTGGTAATGAAACGGTAACAGCATGGAAGCTCAGATCAGCAGCTAAACTTCACATCTTACTGCCCTGGTGGAAAACATGTATTTCTTTTTACTGCTAATGGTGATCTATAACAAGACCTGTGCCTCTCAAGTGACCAATAATGAATACTTTCCGAATTTGCATTTAAAAAACCTTATTGGATATTGCGTCCCACTGTGCACACAAATATATAATTTGTACTTTCACATGTTAAATTCCCATTAAAAATGTTGCACCGTTTTACCACAAGCTGAAATTATGTCTGTTATATTTCTAAAAATTAAAAAGACATTTTGGTAATATTTGCATGCTTAGCGAGGGGAGCCTTGATCCTCCCCAGCTAATGCCTTTGTAAACTTCATGTATTATGTGGTTTAGAATGGGCTGTGGTGCAGAAACAGTGAAGCTTACATTGTCCTGGTATCTGTCAGTGGTCATACTGGATGCACTAGATGTGATAGTTTTTGAGAATTTCTTCATTTTCATTTTCTTCTATGTTAGTCCAGATGAGCCAACACTCCCAAGATGTAAAATAATGTATTACAGGAGTATGAGACATCATGTAGCACTTCATTTCTTCATGTGGCTGTTGTTTATTAATGAAAAATTAACAATAATATTCAAAAGAACATTTGGTTTTACATAATTTATATCTCTTTTATCTCATAGATGACATCTTTGTCCTGTCTCAGGCACCATAGCTATACTGCTGGCATGGGTAGGGGAGTGGGGGTGCAATTTGCAACACTCACCACTAGATGTCACTAGAACTTACACACTGAACCTTTAAATGTACTGGGATCCTTGCATCTTACTTGCTGAGTTATTGAAGTGCCTGTAATTAGGTTTGCAAAGTGAAAAAGCCCAAAGTCCAGCCCAAAGGGAGTTCCCATCTCCCACAGAAAACAGCTCGTTTGTAGTCCAGCCGTTTCCCTTTCATCCCTGTGACGTCACAGAGACGAAAGCAAAATGCGCCTCATATAATGCTCGCCAGGCGGCTACTCTGACTCACCCTCAAAAACACTGGTGGAAAAACTGAGCTGCAGCACACACCTCCTCTCCCTTCCAAACACTAGCTACCCTCCAGGCAGTCAGTGGACATAAAGTTGTTACTGTGATGTAGAGACAGAGCTCAGTTAAAACTTTATGGATGAAAGATACTTTTGTTACAGATTAACAGTTAACTAAATGCATAGCACTGAAAGTGTATTCATTAAAAAGGCTTTAATAGACAACAATATTTAAAATGTTTAAATTTGTTTACTAATGCTTTGGCTAAACATATTAAATAACCATGAAACTGACAGCCTTTCATCCCCATCAATTACTGTCATAAATAGCCACCTATAAAAACTGAGTGTCCCTAGCCTACAATATGATAATGTCCATATTGAAATGTAAAACTTCTAGTTTTAATTGACTTGGCCTATAATGTGTAATATAATAAGTGTTGGCTTCCACCTCGGACAACAACTTTTGCTCCTTCTCCATGATACACCTCTAGACAAATGTATTTCTTTATGTAGGGAAATTGGAGCATGGCAGTATACTGATGGAAATAAATTTAGAATGATTCTAATTCACTACAATGCGCACTGCTGTAAGAACAAAATTGGCCTGTGTCCAACAGTAAATATGTGTGCACATATTAGTGAACCCAATGGGTTGTTTAATTTGCACAGACTGACCCTTTAAAGGGAAAGAAAATATACATCTGTACATTTCTACAGAAATCTAAATAATAGCAGACACTGAAAAGAGTGTGCAATACAGTATTTTTACAATACAATATTTTTACATTTTAAATAACTTACCTTTGCTGGCTTCTTGATTGTTGGGCACCCTGGTTTCATAAGGATTGTGATTATCTGTGGTGTTGTGTCGAGGTCCTATTCTCTGTTATCAGTTTATCAGAAAAGAGAGAACATTGAGTAAAAATAAAGCATATTTTCACAGTGTACACTGCTGAAATATAATCTACTCTAAGTAAATTAATTCAATACTAAACAACAATAAAATGTTACTCTTTATGGAACCTGTCAGAACCACAATCAGAAGAAGCTTTATTGCCAAGTAGTGTTTTACACATACAAGGAATTTGCCTTGTTGATAAGGTGCTACACGTAGACAAACAGTTTACATAAATAAATGTAGAAATATATAAATAAGGAATGAACAGTCTGGAAACAGTTTTCATTGTAATTGTTTTATCTTTAAGACTCCTGAAAATTATATTTTTGTAATTTGTGTCAAATTGTGTCCCCAAATTGAACAAAGCATTAAATGTTAACATTTTATTTTACTGGTAATAATTTCCTAGAAAGGATCTGATATACGAATCTGATTTCTTAGGAAAGATTCTGGAAATTACTATATAATTTGATATTAATAAGGACAACCACATTTGTGGCATCATACAAGGGACTTAAAGCTGGAGTGCATGACTTTTACATATATATGAACGTCCGTTACATTCAAGCCCTTGCCAAACAAGTTCACACAATAATGATTAAGCTGATCACTGCAAGGTAAGTCTTTAATGTAAATCTGTTTATGGCAACATTCCCATGCTGGCGCACCAGTAATGACGGGTTTTACGCTAACCAGCAATGACTGGTTTACCAGAGCTGAAGGGGGAAGTAACTCAGAGCCACATAAAGTGTAGCTTTTTGACTTAGAATTATACATTTTATTACATTTATCTGACACTTTTATCTAAAGCAACTTACAATTGCTATACATATCAGAGGTCACACACCTCTGGAGCAACTAGGGGTTAAGTGTCTTGCTCAGGGACACAATGGTGGATGGGTCACAGTGGGGGATTGAACCCGGTAAATGTGTATCAAAATCAGTTTTATAATAATTGTTTATAAATAGTAACAAATTAGATTAGTTCATACATAGTGAAATATTAAGAAACTACAGAATGCATATACAAATTGCCTGTGAAGATTGTCAGTCATCCTGGTTGTAGTTAGAGATAGCCATATCATTTTTCTTTTTTCTTAAAACTCACTTCAAACCAAACTAAACCAAGTGCACAGTACACATAAAAGGAGCAAGCTATGTACTGGGACACAGACTAAGACTGCTGTGGTTCAGGATGTAATTGCGGTGAGTAACCTCTAGATGGTGTTAGATTGTAGCCACAAAAGCGGGCCAACTATAATGTCAGACAAACTGCACACTACTGTGACCAAAAGGTGAGGAGGCAGGAGGAGTGCACCTTTTTTCGGCCAGGTATGGGAACAGTTTTGAGTCTGGAGAGAATTCCACCTGCTGCATTGTGCTAGAAAACAAAATGTAAGAGAGGTTATCAGAAGGGGACCTGGTACTGTAATTGCCATGCATATGATCATTACAGAAAAAACAGATTTAAGGGAAAGGTTCACTCCAAAGAAAGATGTGTCAAGTTTATCTCTTAGAGCATACACTGAGACATCTTACTGACTCATTCAACTGCCAACTACAGAAAGTAGAAATATACTGTATACAACATTTCCATGTTGGTTTCTCTGTCCAGTATGGCTGTCTGGAGGGAGACAAAAATGAAAGGGTTGGTTCTCCTGGTATTTATCCATGTAGACAGATTATTTGCTCAGGTTCTGAGATATCCCTCTATCCCTCTTTCTGCCTCCATCCTAATTCAGTAGAGGTCAATGATCCTGTGATACTCAGTAAATAAAATCCACAGCAACATCTCTTTCCAAGAACAGTGTCCCGGCTAATCCACAGAACACACTTTCCACAGTTTTCATATAGGGACTACTTATTTGGTAGAAAGAAGTTCACTGAAAACTGTTGAAAGCCCATTCTGTATAGATTATCTGGCAAAATCAGAAAAAAGATATTGAAATACAGTATATTCTAGGGTAATTTTTCTTTGTTTTGAGCACCACAAAATGTACAGAGAGCAGGGAAAAAATAGAACTTTTAGCCAGCAATTTATTAAATTTGTTCTCTCAAATTACTTCCCTCATGCTCTTTAACTAATAATCCATGTGCTCAAACTAATAATTAGTAGGGATGAGTAATTTATGTGCATAAATTACTCATCTCTGCTCTTAAATTTAGAAATGATTTTTATGAATTACTGATTTGTATTCCTGTGTTATGTACTAAATGCTCTTAAATTATAATAAATTCATTAATAATTCAGTGAAAATGAACTAAATGGCATTAGACATATTTGATGTGTGACATTTTACCATATGTTTAAGGGAGGGGTTACATTTTCCTTTTTTAACTTTTGATTACAGCCCTCAACGTACACTGAAATTACTCTGGAACTACGGTCTAATGTGTTGTGCTAATGGGGGGGTACCAGTACAGTAAGCACCAAAACATATGTGTAGGTACTGCACAATTCGTAATCTTACAAAGAACTAATAGGTGCCTATTATATGATTATGGGGTATCTATGACCTACTGAGCACCACCATGAGTATTTCCATCTGGATGTTTGGGGGGAATGTAGAGTGACTGTATACTGTAGTTATTTAACTATTACCTGCTCTATTACTATTAGAGGGTACATAATGACCATAAAACTGAGCGAAAATCTGGACATGTCAGGGATAGAGATGGAGTGATTTCTTTTGCTATGCTTAATTAATCTTATGGGCATACATGCCTTGTAATAAAATAATAGCTACCCAGTTGGGTTTGTTTGTATGACACCAGCCGAGCTCTGTGGTGTTGGGATTTCGTTAATAATCTCAGAGACAAATTTCTAAAACAAATAACAAATAAACTGAAAACTGAAACTATCTGCATGAATAGATTCCAGAAGGAAGTGAGAAAATGTATTTTTTGTTTTGGTTGTGGTAATTTGGTTTACATATTAGCCATCCACATGCAAGATGAACAGACATATTTTAATCTAACTCTGAAATCCTTATTCATAATTTATTTTGACAAAACATAAAAGAATTTCATCCATCATTTAAACCCATTTCACAAAGTTGTCATTAACAAAATCTCTAATCTTGGTAGTTAAAGGCAGCATCCTCATTTCCTTTCACTAATCATACGGGACATGTAAGTGAGTGGGTTGCATCACTTCCTGTTTTTTGGACACTGGCTCAGGACCATGATAATATGCAAATGCATTAATGCCACTACACACTCACACACGCAAACACACTTAAGCACAGGCAAGAACTTACCAAAGCAGAACTTATTCCAGGATGGTCCCGTGGGAGCAGCGGTCGCCCTATCAGCCCTATGAACACAGCATATAACAAATGGTGATCAGGTTTGAATATATTCCTACACTTATATAAATTATTATATATTATATATATTTTAATTAATATGCAGTGGATTTCACTTGAATGACACTCTTACTGTAGACATGTTATAATAAGCTGTGTGTATTTGTTACCAATTTCTCCATCAGGTCTTGGACAGGGCTCTGTTAGCACTCGAAGCAGGCCGTCTGGTTTGTAGGAGTAGTGCTCTACCAGCTGTGGTAAAGAAAGAAGTTCATATATCAGACACTCATTACAATGGTCAGGAGGACATGAGGACATGCATTAATAACTACACAAGACTAGCGTCTTTTAAACATTCAGAAAACAAAACTTCATTTCATTATACCCCATAAGACAGAGTTGACATTGTTATTCTTAAAGACATCCTAGTAGTAGGGCTAAACATGAAAATATTTCCCCTGAGGGTGAGGCTAAAGTAAAGGTCCTCTGATCCTCTGGGGAGCATGCTAGGCTGCAGCTACAATTTTGTTTCTAGGAATGTGGAAAATAGTCCAACTCTTTCTGAGAGTGAGATGGATATTGATGTCATGTCTTTGTGCTAGGTCCTGACTTCAGTATTTCTACACATCTGGCAATGGAGCCTGAATGTGCTCAGCACGTTTTAACACAGTGTCCATAAGGGATATGTATGAAACTATAACAAAATCATAATATTACTTCTGAAAGAATAAAATGGGTGATTGAGGCATTGAGCAACACTTCAGACACCTGCTGGGAAACCCTAAACCTAATCCTGAGAATCATAAAAAAAAGAATAACCAGTTTAACCTGCCACAGGGTGTCAAACTTCTTGCCATCTGGGATAGAGAGTTTGCCAGCCCTGTCCCTGTCAATGCGATAATGCATGACTTGTCCTTCATGTAGTAAACACAGAGCATAGGAGCCATTCAGATCCCTCTGTCGGATCCTGCACACACAAGAAGAAGAAGAAATGGAACAAAGGTCACAAAGTAGAAGAAGGTGATGTCGGTAGAAGAGAAGACAACACCTGCATGTAGTTTGCTATTCCTATTGCTCAAATCCAAATTTTTACTGAACCATTGCATTTTAGCCCAAGGTTTCAACATTATTACCACATCATACTGTGTACATACTGTGTGGTAAGAGATGGTGATAAACACTGTTTAATTAGTCCAGGGCAACGAATGTCCAAAAATATATTGTGAACAAAATATTATAAAGAGAACACAGTCATTCATTACAACAATTGTCATCAGTACAAAAAATAAATCAAGAATAATGCATACAGGAAATACATCCTTACAAGGTAAGGTTACAAGAAAAGCTTGACCTGACTTGAAGAGTCTGAAGAATAGACACGCAGTAGTTGGAATATTTATATTTGCTCTTCTTCGTAACTTCACTACCTGTACCAGTGTATCAATGTATCAATGTTCATGGTTTATGGTTTAAAAACTTTGGTGAATGGATGCACCTTTATGTAACATTTTTGATATTTTAACCTTTAAAGGGACAGATTTCAACAACAACTCTTTCTCAAATTGTTATAAATTACTCTTATTTGCTAATAGCACATAGACACAACCAATTTAAAACTTTAAAAACAAATATATTTAAATCTTTACACCAAACCAAACCACTAATTGTTTAAGTAAAAATCTGCTTTTCTATTTCCAATGTTGTGTCACATAATGATAAAACCTTTCAAATTCAGTTTGTGTCATGTATTTTCTATGTTGATTTTTACTTATATTTTACTAGTATCAAATACAAACTTTCAACAGTATTACCAAAGCAAGCCTGATAAGCTGTGCACAGAGGAAAATTACATACATCATTTCATATATTTATTTTTATCTGAAATGTGAGATAATTAATTTTATTTGCATGTGTGTATTTGTGATAAATAGTACGTACAGTGCTGTACTGTTAACTAGTAATGTATTGAACTTGTCTAATGTCTAGTCCCAGTAGCACTCGGCAGCAGATGGTTCAAAACGTTTTTATTGGTTCCATCTCTGAAAACAGCCTTGGCTGTAAATGTAGAACATCAGACTTTGATGTTGACATCAATGTGACACAAAGCTCTCATTTCACTGGGGGTATTTCAAAAGCCAGAACCGATCATTCTGCTCTGTTTTGTGTTGGTCTAGACCTGCTCTTTTATGGAGATAACTGTTGTTGTGATTTGGCACTATATAAATAAAATTGAATTGAATTGTGTTGCCATACATGCATCACATTTAGATCATTAAATCCTTACACACAGGCTCAAGCTGAAAAAACACACTCTCTTCTTCAGTTTCAATTACCTGGTTTTCTTTTTGTCTCATGGGTTTTACTAATGCTTAATGCTTGCTCTTTTTGTATTCATTACTGTTATTTCTTTTATCTTTATTGTTTTAGTCTTTAAGTATCAAAAATGTGTATATGCCCATGTAAAACACCTTGTAGCCTAGTGAAGTATAGTATTTAACCCCACTTGTTACCTTACTTATATATCAGCTATACCTTGTTGGTTGATAAATGTGTGCAGCTATTTTCAAACATTAAGATCTGAGAAAGAACCAGCACTGACATTACAGTAATAAAGACAAGCTCAGTTACAGGAACTAAACAGGAACTGAAACAGATGGCCTGTGTGTCATTATTTACAACTGTGCTGGTCCCTTTTGTCATCTAAATTATATTATATATATAAGTGAAAAAACATTACAGAAAGAAACAATGTGTTGTTGTGTTGCTGGCCACTCTTGTAAGCCCGAGCCTTGGAAGTAAATGGGAACACAAAGTTTTGTCCTACACGTTTCATGAGAAAAGGGCCAGTCACATCTCACCCTGCTGTCATTCTTTCTCTTGTTTGGCTACTTCAGGAAGTCCCTTGCAAACTGCCAGAGCGGAAACCACAGTGTGTGTGTGTGTGTGTGTGTGTGTGCGTGTGTTCCTCTTCTTAGCCGAGACCACTGCCTCTCAACTGAAGTTTCAGCTGCTATAAATACTCTACACTTGCTTCATTCAAACGTAACAAAGCAAAAGACACATTTTAAACATCTGAAGTATTGAAATAGAAATATATATAGACATATTGTACTGCTGTAGTTGTTCATTTAGGATGACAGCTTATGTAGCATTTCCATTCATTCACATTTCACACCATGACAAAGCAGAGCTATATGACAGCCATGAGGAAAGGAGCATTGCAACTGTAAGCGTTCTGTGTCCATTGTCTTAACTTTAGAGTCACTTTAGTAAATCACTATCACTATATCAGCTTCAAAACTAAAAAAATATGTTTGTGGCAAAAACAAAACAGTACATTAACAGTACAGTAACATTTTTTTAGTAAACTTTAAAACAATATATCTTAACAGACATTTTGTCACAGTTCTTTCATGCTTTTGTTAAAAGCTAAACTGTCCAGATAGACAATATCTGGGAGGGAACTATTAGAGCTAGACCTGCAAACTAACTGAGTTTCTGGATCTGGATTTGGGCTGTGCTCAGGAGGTGATACAACATGCATACATCAAGGTACTAAAAGAAAAAATAATATCAGTGTTACTTCTTCCATTGTTGTCTGTCTACCGCCACTATGCACAACCACTAACTACAATTGCCTACCAAACAGCACATAAAAAGGATGCAGTCAGTCCCACAGTTAAAAAAAAATCTTGATGTTGTAAAATATAGTGGAATAGCTGGAAGAACCTTGGCTCTTAAAAGCCCCAGGTTTACTTCCTGCAGTGGAAAAGAGCTTTGTGATATACCAGGCAGTTTAACGCATATATTACTAATCTTTAACAAAATTAAGCAGCTTTTTGAATGTCTTTGGTAATGTATTTGTAATGTATTTGCTTTTTGGACATAAACAGGATCTAAACAAAGAGCTCCAAAGACATGCAAGACATAACTGCTTTGCCTTGGTCAGCAATTATAAATCCTTTTCAGCAGTCCTCTAATTTAATTTCAATTTCCATCCCTCCTGTCATATTTTGCAGTCCCAAGTAAATCATTCAATTGAAATGAAAGCTCATTATTCATAGAAATGAAAGCAAACTCCTGCCTTACATTGGGATTGAATGCGATTTCTTCCAGACAACAGATTTTTTTTCCAAGGAAAAGAAAAGCAGAAAAGATAAAAACCAGGCTGGAGAATGATGTCTATTGACCAACAGACCTGCCATGTTTAGCAGCACCTTTGGTGTCCCGTTCAGGAATTACTTATGTTATAATTATTAATTATGTTATTAGTATTAATTATGTTTCTATGTATTGTCCCCCAGCAGTGAGATGAAATATCCAACCTTGTCTGTTTTGTTTAATTTTGCCCTAACCAATCAGTAATGGGTGAAATATCCATCCTACCAATGTCTTTTTAAGTTGCCATAGCGGCTACGGTAGCAGTTGCTAGGGGCAGTTAATGAGCGTTTTTCTCAACAATAAAGTAAATAGGTTAATTTAAGACTTTTAATAATTTCTGTAACAACCTGTACAGCTGCATAAATCTCCTTCACACTTTGAATAACAGGTTTCCCAACTACAGATACATAGGTCTTGTCTAGTAGAAATGGCCAGTGACTCATTTTATCCAGCAACATTTCAGGAATGAAGCACAAAATAAGACTTCCTCTAATCTGAAAAGAGCAACTATAGTGTTTTCAATTAGAAGCCATATCATGTTTTCATTTTTGTAAAACGGATTCCTGAGATGGTTTTAATGATATATTTGATGTCATTACAAGTATAAAATGAGGTAACCCAATCCTTTGAGGTGTTTTCTCCCAAGTAAATGTAAATGCTCCATACTTGTATAGCGCCTTTCTAGTCTTTTCGACCACTCAAAGCGCTTTTACACTACATCTGCATTCACCAGTCACAAACATTCATACACTGAGCCTAAGTGCTCAAACGGTCACGGTCAAGGACACTTCGACACGCAACCAGGGGCAGCGCCGACCTTCCGATTAACGGCCAACCCGCTCTACCACCTGAGCCACAGCCGTCCCTTTATTCATTTAGCGGACGCTTTTATCCAAAGCGACTTACAATTGCTATACATGTCAGAGATTGCACGCCTCTGGAGCAACTAGGGGTTAAGTGTTTTTGTCAGGGACACAATTTCTCACAGTGGGAATCGAACTCAGGTCTCCCACACCAAAGGCAAGCATCTTATCTATGCACCATCACCACCCTCAAGACAGGACAGTTTTTTTTAGGGTCTACATAATTCAGATAGGGTAAAATGTTTGAAATGGTTTGCTGAGGTTTGGATTTGCAAAAATAGTTGTGGGACTTGGGAGAAAAACCTGCCTGAAATGATTACTTCAAGAGTAAGAAAGTTTCCTAGAAATGAACATTTGCAATGAAGTAGGTTTTTTTCAGGCTGGGGTTTGATTTTGTGTGACGGTGGATCTGAATTAGATTATTTAATGTGGAGAATGGAATGTTTGTGAGTATATTCTTAATATTCTGGATATTGTGAGCTTTGGATAATAATTGGTGAGATTTGGATGCATTTGTTTTACATACATTTTACGCCATTTACCAAAGAACTGCCTAAACCTGTACAAAGACACTTGTGAGATACTTACAGGAATTTTCCATTTGTACGGGAGCCATTTTGAAGCCTGGGCTCAGAGTCTTCTCGTGTTATTGCTCCATGGAACCAGGGCATTTTTTCATGTGCAGTGGTGGCAATGAGCTTCTCCAGCTGAGGCCTCTGGCTGATGATGGCCTGCTCCAGAGCTGCACCCTGCACACACACAAACTATGAGCCCATGCATATAATAAGAAGAATATGCATGACAAGCCTGGTAAGCCACTTGCTTGTATCTATGGTTTTATATCTGCATGATGGCTACCCTGCGTATCCTGCGTTTCTTTGGAGCATTGGTTGTGGTATTGATCATCATGGAATTGAACACTTGAAATAGCAGTAAAGTAACAACAAAGTAAATCATTCACCGGTCATTTCAAATTAACAAATTAAAAATAATTCAAATGGGCTAAGAAACACAACAGTAAAATTATTACACAAAGTGTAGGTTAGACTGACTTCCTGTTAAACGTTGACCTACCGTACTTGAAGTTATGAATCATGTGCCATGAGGGATTGTTAGCGACATTTCAGGTATGATTGCTTTCAATTTTACCTCCAAGTAAAGGATAGATAAGGTTAGATAACCAGCTTCTTCCGCAAACTACGTGATTGTCTGACTGGTTGTGCTTCTTGACTAATTTTTAGCATTTCAAAATTTCAGTAAATACTTTGGTGAGTACAATGTAATCATAACAGATGTAATAAAACATATTTTTTATATTTTTTAATAAGTAGTCTGACTGTCTTTTGAGCTCTTGATCTACTTCACATTTTAGATATTCCAAATGACCTTTCATCTGCTTACAGGACAGAGTTGAAACTAACCTGAAGGTTCCAGGTCTGCTTGACATACTCCCTTATCAGTTTTTCCTTCAGGTCTTCAAATGGCCCAACCTTTGGCTGCATGTTCTTGGGCCTGTTGCAGGGCTTCTTTAGCAGACACACAAGCCCATCCATCTCCTGGGAGTGGTAGTCAATCACATCCACAGGGGTCCTGTGGCTTTTACCACCAGCAATAGCATATGTTTCATTGGGTTCTCTTTCAATGGTGTAGTGGTAGCAGCGGCGTGAATGCAACACAGACAGTGCAAAGCCTCCAAGATAGTTTCGGCTTTGCCGTAGCAGGTATAAGCCGTTGCTCATGCCTGTCTGCCGCAAGTAGTCTTCCGCCTCCTCCCTGGTGATATTGCCATAGAAGAATGGCAATGTATTTACCATGTCAGCCATGTTGGCTTCTGGATTTTGGCTCCCTTAAGGAAGTCCTCTCACAAAATTCATCCACCAGGATACAGTTATCCTAAAATACAAACGTACAACCATTTACACAGTGAGCAGAGAACACTACTTCTGTATATGTGATATTTAGCTTGGATTCTCCTCAGTGTACAACAAAAATGGAGCTTAAGTTCAGAAAGACCAAATGATCGTCACTGATCATTGTGAGAAGAACCACACACATTGACAGTCTTGCACCATTAAACTGTTTGCTACATCTGTCAAAATGTGCGCTTTTATGTTAAGTTTGGCCATGGTGTTTCTTGTACCATGGTATAACCCCCAGCCCCAAAATTTGCAAAAACTTGACAGGGATTGGTGTTCCAGCAATCTGGAAGAATCTCGTTTAACCTGGCAAGATAGTCTTATAGGAAGGTCCTTCATAATGTATTAAGGAAGGCTGACAAAGAGTCCTATTCCTATTACCCTTAGTGGTAACGACTTAATGAAATTCTAATTTTTATAGACAAAATCCATCATCTCCTGTCCTCAACAGGTACCAGTTTATCTTCAAAGTTAAGAACCTTAGAAAACCAGATGTAAGTTAAGCAGTCTAAACTGGTAAACTAAACTAATCTGGTTTGCTTCCCTCAATCTTTACCAACTAATTTCAATAATTTCTTCATCTAAACCATCAACCTGCCTCTTAGACCCCATCCCGACTAGGCTGCTTAAAGAAGTTTTACCCTTAGTCAGCACTTCTATACTAGATATGATCAATCTATCTTTATCAACAGGCTATGTACCACAGTACTTTAAAGTAGCTGTAATTAAACCTCTTCTGAAAAAGCCCAAACTTGATCCGGATGTTTTAGCCAACTATAGACCTATATCTAACCTTCCATTTCTCTCTAAGGTTCTGGAGAAAGCAGTTGCTAAACAGCTGTGTGACTTTCTACAGAGCAATAGTTTATTTGAGGATTTTCAGTCAGGATTTAGAGCTCATCATAGCACAGAGACAGCACTGGTGAAAATTACTAATGACCTCCTTATTGCATCAGAAAAAGGACTTGTCTCTGTACTGGTTTTATTAGATGTTAACGCTGCATTCATCACCACTGACCATCACATTCTATTACAGAGACTGGAGTATATAATTAGCATTAAATGAACTGTTCTAAGCTGGTTTAAGTCCTATTTATCAGATTGATCTCAATTTGTACATGTTAACGGTGAATCCTCTATGCACACCATACATATCAGTTCCACAAGGTTTTGTGCTTGGACCAATCCAATTCACATTATGCACACTCAGAACTAGAACAACATGTTTAATAATAATAATAATTATTACTATGATGTAATAATTAATAATATAATTTTTTATGGGTGGGAGATGTCCTGATCATCTCAAGGTCCCTGCACTTCCTTTCTTTCAGGTTTCTGGGATCCACAATCAGAGGATAGACTTTCAGTGCCAGCTGAGGAAGTTCAACCTGCCTCAGAAGCTTCTGATCCAGTTATACTCTGTCCAGTTATAACCCAGTCTGTCTTTTGCAAACTCATCACTGTCTGGTTGAGATCAGCCACCAAATAAGATGGAAACAGACTACAACAGACAGTACAGACCGTCAGGACTGCAGAAAAAATCATTGGTTCCAACCTGCTCTCCATTCAGGAAATGAGCAGGAAACATCACACCATGAACACAACCTGTTCCAACTTTTTCCCTCTGGCGCTACACTGTATACCAAAAACAACCAGACACAGGAACTGTTTCTTCCCACAGGCCATCACTCTGCTGAAAACTTAAATCAGTCAAAGAGTGTCAACACTAAAACCTGTAAGAGTAAAACATACACTTCCATTATAGATTATATTATTAGTTTAAAATTCACAATTTTGGGGTGCCCTGTACCATGTACCAAGGCTGAGTCCTTCACAGAGCCTGTCAATTACCTATGTACACACTCAAACAGAGACTGACAAACCGAAACTGTCATACAATCTGGCCTGCAGATCTAGAGCAATTTGGGGTCCAACATTACACAGCTTAGTAGTTACACTACCTGACAACTACAAATATGTTGGATTATTGAGAGCAAACTGTGTTATGTTAATAACTTGATGTATAAAGGGTCTTTATTACTCAAAAAATTAACTCTTTATGACTCTGTTTTCTTCCAGTTTAGCTCTGGATGATTACATGTAATTAGGGCCCGAGCATGAACCGTGCAAGGTCCCTAATGAAACTGAACTGAAATTTTGGGGGCCTAAACATATTCAAAAATGCACCAAACTTTGCACATAATTCAGACACAGCGAAAAATTTCGTATTTTATGGGTTTCGCACATGGGCGTGGCAAAATGGCTTGCTAGCGCCCCCTACAGAGCAGCCCCCAGACAAAGTTTTACCTACATGTACACAATTTCTGTAACACATGTATCATTTCCAGACGCATAAAAAAGCCTCTTGGAGCGATGTCCGACATCCAACAGGAAGTCGGAAATTTGGATTTAATGGTCATTTTTGCCGATTTACACACTTGTACACACTGTACTAGTCTGATCAACTTCAGATTTCCGCTGTGCAGTCTAAACCCATTGATGATTAAAAGTTGGACAAACTGTGAGTTTTCATACACGAGCATGCCCCTGGCGTGGCCTCGAAAATCAACTAAACAGGAAGTTGTTACTTCACTATATGCTCACATCTGCACCAAATTTGATATGGATAAGAGTCACGCCCTTAACACATCCATCTGCTATCATAAACTCAACGTCATAGGGCCACCTGCTGGCAACAGGAAATGTCACGTTTTATGCTATGATGGACTACTCTTAGCTGGTTGGCCATATCAACTTCAAAAGTGTCCCAGAATGCCCTTAACACGATGCAGAAGCCATGTTGTAAAACAAGTGAATTTGCAGTTAACGGTCCCACACTACGCCATGACACAGGAAGTTGTTGTAACCTGACTGTGCAAGCTCAGATCTGTACGAAATTTTACACGTTTGATAAGAGTACTGCTCTGAACACATGTACATGACGATATTCACCCATAGACATAGTGCCACCTGCTGGCAACAGGAAGTGACATTCAACAAAGCAGTCCCTACGGCACTTTTTACCTACATGTATGAAATTTATATGATTTTTTTTTTTTTTAAATCACACTCCATACCTTAACAAACTCCTCCAAGAGAATTAGTCCGACCGACTTCAGATTTTCCCTGTCTACTCTAAAGCCATTGACAATTAAAAGTGGTACAAACATTGGTGAGTTTTCGTGAAACACCGTGCCTGTGGCGTGGCGTCCAAAAACGATGATTTGCCATGAAAGAGGAAGTTCTTTTAACTTCAGTTTACTTGCTGACATCTGCACCAAACTTTACGTGCTTGATAACAGTCCCGCCCCGAACATATCTTCATGTCGTAGTGCAAAGTGCTATGTAGCACCACATTGGGGACACAGGAAGTGATCATTGTTTGTGCAGTGTCCGAAGCCCTTGGCAAAGATTCACAGCCACACTGGCAGAGCTCCAGAATCTGCAACGCGGTGGCCTCACACCTCGATGTGCTACATGTGCGAGGGACCGCCCAACGCTGCTTGCAGCTTTAACTGTGTATGATTTGCATTTTGCTGTAGTTTCTGACTGAATATAAGTACGTGTACATCTCTATGTACGCCATAAGAGAAGTTGCTGTCAGTAGCATAATGACCTGCTTCCAGAGACAAACTGTATTCCAGTATTGTTAGAAACGATACAGGGGACATTTTGAACATCACTCTGAAGATCTATAACAGAACAAAATAAGTAATGAAATGGTCAGTTTCTCCAAAATGTTCATTAAGTTTTATTCACTTTATTTTAAAGTAGAGCAATGACAGATTCATACCTTACTTGGCAAGAGCAGCACAACATATTCACTCTGCCACATAGTCAGACATAGTCAGATTACACTCAGGGTTTTGATGCCCTCATACTCAGATTTTTTATGTTATGTTTGATGTTTTGAAAGTTTTTATTCTCTGGTCTTAGATAAATACTAATATACTTCAATTTATGGTCCTTAAAATGTAGGCCTCAATGATGATAAGTTAATTTTGCTGAGCAGCAACAAACAGCACACAGATTACTAATATTGTTGTTAATAATATCTCAATGTCAAAATAAAAACACAAACAATTGCATTCATAAAATATAACACATATCTGAATCCAGGATTAGTACTTTATTTAAGAAATATGAGCGTCACACACACACAAATTTACATCTCTGCCTTTTTTCTTTTCTTCTCAAAGTAGCATCTCTCCATAATTATAACGACTCTAAAGTGGCTGGATACATTGGTTATGGTAAGGCAGACATATTTAATAATAAATATGGCCGTGTGTCAAGTCCTGAGTTCATCAGTACAAGAGTAGCTGTCTCTGCCGATATGAAAAACCAGATAAAGAAGTACCCTTCCTGCAATTTGTGGTGAAATAATAATTAAAGAATGTTTTTTCTACTTGGCTTGCCAACTGCTTCCTGTGATCATCTTTCCAGTAGCTCAAAACACACATGAAAATATGATCATGCTAGAAGAGTTACAAAACAATATAAGTCATGCCTATACAAATCTTTTCATGTCCACTATAAAGACCAGTGTTGGTATAAGAACCAGCACAAGTCCTGAATTTTAAATCTTACTGAAGTGACGTACAGAGGTATGATCAAAATGCACTTAAAAATTTAGGTAAAAATACCTCTTCTACAGAGAAATGACCATTGTGTGGATATATTATTATATTTAAAATATATTTAAAATACTGTAGCTGTTCAATATGAAGGTAGTTTTACCACCTTATTTCCAGTTAGGTATATTATATACTATATATATATACAGTTAGGTGGTTTAATACAATGGTTCCCAAACTCGGGTTTGGCCCCCTCTAAAGGGTCACAACAGAAATCTGGGGAGTCATGAGATGATTAATGTGGTTGGAAAGACGCAAGATAAAGTTGTGCTACACACATCAATAAGCAATTTTTTGTTTGAGAAAATGTATGCTTTTATCCTATTCCGTCTCAAACTGTTATTGAAATGAATTTAGTGGGAAATGTCTAACCATTCATAGACATCCCAAATAGGACAAGGGTAGAGTAGACACTGGGGTTGCAACTCTGTTTGAATCTTTAATAATGCATTGTATTTTATAAACTTCTCATGTTTTTTTATATTTATTTTTAATGTACAAAGTGACTACAGCTGTCAAAAAAAATTGTAAAAAACATTTCCCTCTGCAATGTAGTGAAGAATATGTTTTTAGCAGCAGAAAATACTAAATACTAAAGTTCCTAAAATTGAACTAAATACAGTTCTTTGTTAAATGTCCATTATTTTACACCACTAACAAAAACCTGGACAAACTCTATCATGAACATAAAAGAGTCGTAGTCAACTGAGTCCGCACCCAACATGTAAGAAATCCTTTACTGAGTCCTAACATATTAATTTAAGAAAACTCTATCAGTGGGCTATGTTAATAAAAGTGTGTTAATCAGCAACAATGTCTGCTTAACCACAACCAAGGCAATGAATTTGTCTCAGAAACACATGAAATTATTCTGTGCTGTTGTCTGTTTTATTCACTTGAAGATAATTATTAATTTCCTTAAACAATGGCAACTGCACTGGTGAAAAGTGGCCTGATCTCACCTATAAGTCAGCAAAGTGAGAGGTGAAATAACATGGTGAGATATAACACCCTGTAAGAAACTATAATTCTTGGGTTACACAAAAAAGTTGAACATTTTGGAACAAGAAGTTTTGGTGATAAAATCCAAAAAGTGTATATTAACCAGGCAAAAAAGAAAACACTAACACTGCACTTACTGAATACAATGTGATGAAGTTGTTTCCGAATGTTGACCCTCCTCTAGTTTGGTTCCTTCAATCCATCAGCAGTCCGAACAACATGTTAATAGGTCATCTTAAATTCAGCCAGCTCCTGACTCCTCAAAACCACATGAACATGTCACTCAGTTGATCTGGCGTGTTTTCCCAGCTAGAGCAAATTAACAGTCAGTGTACTGACATACACTGAGGTGGTAGAGCACTGAAACTTCCTCATTTGAACGACTTCCTTAAAATTTAATTTTTTTACTTCCCTTTTTTTATCTGAACACTGACCACCACATCTGCAGCAAGCAGGACATTATATGACAAATGCATTGACACAAGTGGCATTGCTAATGACTGCAGAGTTCAGAATGATATATTATATACATTGTTTAATTTACTATTAAATTAAATTGTGATTTAATTTATCATGATTTTTCATTTATATGTTGTTGCTTGTATAGGTGGTTGGGTACTTTAATCTGCACATCATATGTCATGCATCATATAAGTTTTCATATGTTTAACATAAAAATGTGAATCTGAAAAGTAACTAACAACTATACAGTAGCGGTCAGATGAATGGAGTGGAAGTAAAAATACAATATTTACCTCTAAAATAAAGTGGAGTAGATGTATTAAATAACTTAAGTTAACTTAAGAAAGAATTTTAAATTCAAGTAAATGTACTTATTTCCACCCATAGTTTCCTGACTGAGACACTGTTTGAGCAGTGACAGTGAAATGATGCAATCAATGATGAAACTGTGTGTTTTGGGCTGCTTCAGGCTCACACAAAAAATCTCAACTTGTTTTGACTTAATTTGTCTTTAAATGATGTATAAATTATTTAATTTGATGAATTTCTAACATGTTGTTGATTTTTGTTTTTCAATTTAAAACTGTGTCTTCAAATTGAATTAATTTGTCTTGTGCTTTAGCAACTGCAGGTTCTGTGTCATCCACAGTTTCACTTAAAAGACACCTCTGCTTAGGACATGTAGGCTGCCTGTGAGTGTGTCTGTATGTGTTGGAGTGTTAGCACTGAGCAGTGTAAGCAGGGACAGTTAGTCAGTCATGTGTCATAAGCAGAACATTGAGTTTACTCAGGAAGTGCCAGCTGGCTTTGGTGTGTTTCACACTCACAATACAGTCAGTAAAACACACACACACACACACACACAAACACACACACACAGGCCCAGAAGCTGCACCCTTTTACTGATTAGTAGTAATGTCCTACAATGTTATATCATTCAGTTTAATTGAGAAATAAAATTTCAAAAAGTGTTTTTTTCATGTAAATCTAAAATGGATGCCTTGCAACAACATGAGCAGAGATGACTTTGTATGTTGTTAAGGGTTAATGTATGTTAAGGGTTGGGGTTAGGAATGTAGTTGTGATGTTTATGGTTAGGTTAGAGTTATGGGCTAAACAATTATGCCCAAAAGTGTCCTCGCTTTCTGAACTTGCATTTCACTAATGTATTTTTCAAATGTTCTGATCACACTCGTCTTGCATACTTCTTATTCTTGTATGCCTTTTTTTGTACATTTAGATCTGGAAAGACTTCATCTGAGAGAATGAATAATTTATTGACATGTACACTTTGAAAATGACAAATTGTGAATAGTCTTTGGTGATTAGACCCCATTGTGACATCATAGTATTTAAAGGAGGTGGTGAAGCTGTTAAATTGCATCTACAACTAAGCTAATGCAATAAGAGGTTTTGAAGTCTTGAAATATAACACCAATCTGCATCAATGTGCACAGCAATCACAATTGAACATTTCTTCAGAAAATTCTTCTCTAGTTTCCAACACATGAACATGTGAACACATCCATATTTTAGGTTCTTATAAATTTCTAAAAAAAACCCAACATTAAATACTTGAGTCAAATATAATTTTCTTGATCCTGCTGCAACAATCTGTGTCAAAAGAACAAAAGAGCTATCTACAACAGAGCCTGAAAGAAATTGTGCAACGTTGTGGCATTTCAACCTAAATGGGCTACATGCAGAATAGAGTTTATCTTCAAGGTGAGTTGGCTTAAGTTTGGAACACTGAGGAATGGAAAATATCACCAAATGATGTGTACTTTCACTTTGTTGTCTTTGTAATGTCACTTTATTGTAACTATGTCAAACTGCTCATGTCTCTTCCCACTGAAGGAAGTGAAGTGTCTTCACTTCCGCAGCTGTTACTTCAGTCGAAATGTGGCCTTAAAGAGTTATGTAGGTCTCAATTTAAAGAAAATCATATTAGAGGATTTCAGTTCCACAGCATAAACAATATCATACAGACACAAAGTTAGCTTAACATAGGCAGAGAAGCCCACAGCATGTTTCTGCTTTATAGAAAGACCAAAAACAAAACTATATTTTAATATTTTTACTCTGTACTTATTTTGAGTAAATGTCTAATCAGATATTTTTATTTTTTCCGCATAACATAACCACATAACGAATACAGCTGCACAGTGCACACATGCTGTAGACTACAGAAAAACTCTTCATTTGGAAAATCTTGTATCCTACTGTATATTATTTTGAGTAATATTTGTGAAGAATTGTGCTTTAGAGAAGTTAGAGAAACACCCCTCTTCATCTCTACTGAGAACAAAATTCTGAAGTTTGCAGTTTCCAACAAACAGCCCAGTGACGTCTCTGAAGCCCCCTGGTGGCCTTTCTGCATTCTGAGTCTTTCTATCTTTTTTAATGCACCTAAATGATGTCATTCTCTGTGAGTGGCAATTGTGTGCTCTTTTTGCTTCTGTAGTGTTTATTAGGGTTCAAACCGCAAAGCGGTAGAACCCTTCTATGTTTGTCTGTCTGTTTTAGTTATTATTATTATTATTATTATTATTATCTCTGCGTCTGCTCAAATTCCCGTGAGCTGGAATGAGCTAGAAACATGAAACCTAGGGGAATAACTGGAAATGGTGTGCATAAGCTTCCATAGAAATATGTATTCAATCGGCAACACATGGTGGAGCTGTAAAAAAGGCTTAAAAATGCAAACTTTGAATGGCCGCGCCCCTCACGCCATAAATCCGATTGACTTGAAATTTCTCACACAGGTGCAGCTCAATGTGCTCTACAACAAAGCCTCAAGGACCATTAAGGTCCGCCTATAAAACTTTGCCACCAAATTTTCAGTGAATCATCATTGGATCAAGCCTATTAAAAGTATAAAGCATGTCGATATCTCAATTACTTTTCAAGACCAATGAACTTTGAAAGGACCGTGCCTCTGGACATAAATGAACACAAATCAGCAACCGTAGGGCCGATCATCACAAAACTCACAGGATATGTTCAGATAGGTGCCCCAGGTATACCCGGACAGTTTGATGTACATACGTCAATAGGGGGCGCTACAAGCACAAGAAAGGTGCTTGGCATTACACAAATTATACTTTAAATGACATATTCTCCAATCATTACAAATCTCTCAGGATATGTCCTCATAAGTAACTGACACACGCCCTGAAAGTTCAAATCAAACTGAACACCGGGAGGTGCTTTAAATGCAACAAACCGCAGGTGATCTAACGCAAATCAGGCTACAAATTACAAAATGTGTCCAATCAACATAAAACTTCTAGGATATGTCTACATCAGCACCTCACACATACACTGCAAGGTTCACTCAAATCGACCACTATGGCGCTATGAATGCACAATAACTGGACGTGGAATCATAAAAATTAAACTATTGATCAGAAAATACCTCTCCAATCATTACTAAACTTGCAGGATGTGTTTCATTACAATATTGAACCAATGTGTGAAATTATTTTGATGGCAATATTGCGAAAAAAGGTTTGAACCCGTGAATCGCCGCTTGCGGCTATATTTTTTTATTTAAAATTTTTATTGAAATGTTGATGCATGCCGTAAAGGCATTTTGTTGCCTTTTTGTGGCTAGACATTTGTATGCTCCATACTTGAGTCATTGTTATTCATAGTTTCTCATTGTTCTTTCACTGTCAAGAGCGGAAACCAATTTTGGAAATTATTTTATTATAAACCCATTTTACTATCACATAATCATAACCTGATTTTAAGACTGGATGTCCGTGATTAACCCTACAACTACCACTTGTTTGTTGCCCCATTAAAGCCAGTTTACAAAGTAAATATATTTGTAAACATAAAAAATGACAAAACACAAAACATACACATGATAAAGGTGACAAAAAGACACTAAATTCTATAAGCCTGTAAGAGCTTATAAAAGATATTATGAAAAGAGGCAAAACCAAGAGGTAATCAGTGTGACAAAATCAAAAATAAATAACAAAATCAGTTTCACTGTTCATATTTTATTGCACAAACTTCAACTTTACAGACAGTTCTGGATAGTTACTACACTCATGTATGTCATCAGATAAGTAGTTTAAATGTCAACAGCATTGCTGATATAAAAAGCAAATTTATTATCACACAATGGGAAGGCACCATTAATGTTCCCCCTTGCTTTCTTGTAGTTGGTTTGTACCTTTAAATGTTGAAATACTAAGGTCAATATAATATTATTATAATATTATGATATATAAGGTCATATTCTGTAAGTATGTGGAAAACCAAAATGACAAAAAAGAGAAAAAAGTGAGTAAAATAAATTAAAATGTAAAATGGTCATAAGTCATATAAATAAGTAAATAAATGTGCTTCTGTTTCCAGTGTTAAGCAGTAGAACCATGATAGATGATCTGTAATACACGATTGAAGATGAAACTGGCTTGTCTCAACAAACTGTATTCGACATCTTTATCTTGTGTGTGTACAATCAACAATAAGATTAGGAGCATGTTCAGTATGTGACACACTGTACACTGACATCTTCTTTTCCCTGTGACTCTGTTAACAATAATAAAGCCATAATTGCCATAAATGCATTTTTAAACCAAACCTTTTTTCTAGAAAGCTAAAGTAATGTGTGTATCACATTGGTTTCTATGGAAGCGTAATGCATTCACTTGAGAAAAAAAAAAAACTGCACTTTTTTGGAATTAACGAGTTAATTATCTCAGAATTATGAGAGAAGTCTTCATGAAAAAAATATTTTGTTCAGTTTTTCTGAATTAACGAGATCCCTCAAAATCCTGCAGGAAGCTCTCACCTGTAGTATTATTATTATTATTATGTATTACTATTGTACCATTGTATTTAGCATGCTATACCAACAATAATGTTGGATATATTCTGACATTGCTTCGGTTTCTTTAGTTGTGCCCTCTCTTTTGGTTTGTTACTATGCATCTATGTGTCCTGTTATTGTTTTATTTGTTGATATTTTTCTAAAACTGTGTACTTGATGCATTCAATAATTTGGAAACAAAGCTATCTTTTTGAAGCTTTCCAAAGCAAGTTATATATTTCTCAGAAACTATATTCAGGTTGTGCAGTGAATCACAGATAAATGAGTTAATTTAGCCTGTGTCTCAACACTATTGATCTTGTTGTTGAGTCTGGCCTTCTCTACGCTTTGAGTAATGTTACTGTCAAAGGTGAGCACATTCAAATGCTTAAGACAGTTTGACTTCCAAGTGATAAGAACAGCATACATATACAGTTGATACATGAAGCATCCATATTTAGCAACGTTATCACACTCTTAGCCTTTATTAATGTTCTCATAAAAATGCCTAAATACATTTTTGAGATATTTAAAGCAATTACACTTTTGAGGGTACAGTCCTAAATCTGTTTATATTTGTGGTGCAACATATTTACATGCTGCCTTTTTCCGACATTTGTACAGGGCCAGCTATGGCTACGTCTTCAAATACCCCCCTCCCACAAGATGATGGTTTGTGGATGTTTCTTCAGAGCCGAGGGATTCCTGAGGAAAATATTCAGAAAATGCAGCAAGATTATGTAGGTGACAGCACATTCATTCCTGCAATATATTAATTTTAATTGTTTTACATTTTACTGAATCTCTGCAGATTCTACAAGTAATCTTCATAAATTGTAACCCTATCACATTTAGTGCCAGTGCTTCCAATTTCTTTTTTTATGCCAAGCACACCTGCCTCTCCCAACAATGCATTCATGTCTTCCCTATTCTAGCCCTGTAAAATAAGATTTATGGGTATCATTAGGAGTAAATTCACTTTATATTTTGGTCTCTACTCTACATAACCAAGTAACAGTAGTTGGAGTGTAACATGCAGTAGCATCACCTTTAAACATTCAGGCAAAGTGCTGACTTATATGTTTGAAATAATAAATAAATACACAAAAGAAAATATTCTGCCCTTACAATCACTCCTTTCCATTTTATTGTGATTTGATATTATTTTAAAAAGATGGAGAAGCCAGCACAGGCCTTGGTTGGGAGCTGAAGTATGGAATCAATATGGAATAGCAATATTATGGAGTACATAACAGCAGTACTATGTGGGAGAAGTACTTTTCTTGTAATTGAGGTAAATGGTTATATAATTAAAGAGGAATATATGAAAGTAGTCCGTTCCCTGCCTAACTTTGATGTCAAGGATTTTTACTGTTAATACACTGTATTTCCAAGAAAGCCACAAAAACAGAGATTCTATTACATGCTAAAAAGCTATTTTTCCCCAATGAGAAATCGAGAAAGGGAAAGTGGGAAGAGTTCAGTCACAACATTGTTGACTTTCAGGAAGCATACCTTGATGAGGGTGTTGTGGAAGAGCTCTATGAGACACATAAATTGGGGATTTTAAGATTTTACTTGTTCACAGAGCACCTGACAAATGGAGATTAAATGTTCACATAGATGACAGAAGGAACTGATGAACAGACAGATGCAGCAAGGCTAAGTGAGCGACAGAAAAACACAATAGAAGATAATGAGCAGCTGACACAAAAAACACATGACAGTGAACAGCAGAATGGAAATCTGTTGGTAGGATAATGGTCAAGGGATTAAAGGACCATGGATATTTTCCTTCTCGGCTGGCTCAAGCCTTTACAGCAGCAATCACATTTGGTGAACACACCGTCTCTTCTGATTTATTGTTTGACTCACTAATGTTGTATCTTAGTCAGTCTGAGCTCGATCTCTTGTCCACTGCTTTACAAGAGGCACTTGTTGGTGATGATGAAGATGAGCTTCTTGATCTTATGTATCGCATGGGAGTAAAAACAGTACCAACACAAGAGAACTTGAAAGCTGTCTCCAAGTGGCCCACAAGCAAATAATCCAGCAACCAAAATATGCACTGGATAACACTGCAGCAGTGGCAGGACCAACTCTCAGGGAGTTCTTCCCCAGTGTGCTGGATATGCAGAAGATGTATGAGGATCTTAAACCATCAACCCGAAAGGTGTTAAAATTGATCACGGCCTCTCCAGCTACTCCAGCAGAGAACCAAAGTTTGCGATTTTTACATCAGTACATCAGGGGATTGGATGAGACAGGCCTCCGGGAGATGTTGAGATTCGTGACAGGGTCTGATGTCATCTGCGTTAAAGAAATTCAAGTCATATTCACCACTTTGGAAGGGTTATCACGGCGGCCTATTGCACATACTTGTGGCCCAAGTTTAGAGCTGCCATCAACTTACAACAGCTATCCTGACCTCCAAGCTGAAATGGAGACTATACTGTCCAGCAAAATAGAAGTGTCTCACTCACTCACATGTACACCCTCTTCCTTCTTGCACATAGGGAAGTAATTAGCTCAGGAGGTGTATTATGAGTTGTAATGATTTTTTATGTTTTTCTTTTTCAGTTTTATCCAGAATGTCTTTACCAAACTTACTGTGGAAACATGTTTACTGGCTGAACATTTTGTTGATGGATTTGAAACACCAAAAATATCCAGCCCATAGAAACACATGATAACAAGATACAATAATCAGTTTGATTTATTGATGATTATACAGGACCATTCAGATGCCATTTAGGTTGCCCTGTTTGCAGTGGGCCCAAAGTTTGTCAAATCACATTTTGGTCATGCTGAATAGTTCCACCATGAGGACAATTTTGCCATTTTGATCAATGGCAACATGTGTTGCAACGTTTCACAGCAGTTGCTGTTATTACCAGACTTAATCTATCTGTAGAAACATATTGAGTGGCTGAATATTTTGTTAATATACTTTAAGGTCCACTTAACCAAAAAAACAATTATAAGCCTTTTATACAATGTTTGTTATAAATGCATGTCGATACATTTTCCTTTTTAAATGAAGATACATGTACCGGTATTTTCAATGTACAAATGTACTACTTATGTAAGCCATCATTTCTGTTTAGGAGCATACTTTTTTGGACAAAAAAAGAAATGTTCGTGTAAAGTAGAATTTTCATTGAGAAAATATTATTAACTTGGACCCTGAGGTAATGTCAGCTCATGTTAAATATTTATATTGGCAGATTCTATTGGGGTTTTTTTTACTATGAGAGGGTGCTCACATTCAGTCATTTGATCCAGTAAAACAACTTGTGATTAATAAATTTGGGTACGTATGTAAGCACGTAAGCTCAATGGCTTCCTCTGGAGAGGTTGGTGGATGAAGACCATGGCAACTATGTTTGTAAATAACCCAGTATATGTTTAGCTCTACAGAAGAAATATTATTATTGAACAGTCATTTCAGTAGGCTTTATTAAGTATTTTACCTTGTTTAAGCCCTAGTGTCTTACTTCCTGTTCTGACTAGAGGTGCTTTTATTTTGAAAGCCACCCGCTGGCACCGTAACTAGTTTTCCTGCTACTTGCGACGGAGAGACTGTAATATGCACACACAGTGAAAGATTTAACGTTTTAGCACCCCTTTGAAGAGGCACAAGGTTAGTATTTATCATAATACTGTGATATTAACATCGGGGTGGTGTTTTTGAAGTAGTTTGAACAATTGTGGCTGTTTATAGCTGTGCAAATACTGGGCTTGTGAGTTAGTGCTAAACTATGCTAATGCTCTGAAACTATATGGTAAGGTAGCTAATGCGGTTGTTGTTTGTGTTGTTTATTTTGTGACCAGCTCTTATGTTGGTTTTGGGATTTCCAATAAATCTAAAATCATCAGTTCAAGTGTCAGACCATCTTTCGGAGGGATGTGCTACAATGCTTATGCTCAGAAAAACAGTGGACAGGAAAGGTAGGAAAAAGTGTGATCTATAAAAAGTAGCTGGTAGCCTAATTACATAACTAATGTTTATCGCCCTGTTCTGTTATTGAACAGTATGCTGCATGTCACAACATTTTGGCGTGTGGACAAAATCTACAGCTGAATAGCATAACACAATTTACATGTCTAAAGCATATTTCTTAACTCTGTTATTTCAAGACATGTCAACTGTATTAAGACTTTTGTCTAGGAAGTCACCGGAGAAGCTGTCACAATCTTTTAGATCTTGAAATAGGTTGATCCAGAACTGTGCATGCTCCTTCCTTAAAAATCCCCACCAATGCTCTATCCGTTGGTTATGATTGCTTGAGCCATACAAATAGCAATTTCTCGAAAAGACGTCCATATGATCATGTCTCATGAACATCTGCATCTGTTCCATGTAACAGTTCTCTGTCCCCAAGTCTGAGAGAATTCGGGTGGCTGTCCCATTCCTTGATAACACCGCATCAATAAAGTATCCAGCGATGACCTTGGGATCACTACTTGTAGAGTATGCATGTAGTCATATCACCATTTGTGAAAACCCGTCAATTGCACCATTGATGCAGATCCCATATGGTTTGAGTTTATCTTATGAATCAACATGCCATAAAAAGTTTCCAGCGCCTCAGTTGCACTCCATGGGGATCCAGTATTTTCAACAATTGCCTGATTGTCTCTTGTGTCACCATGTAGCCAGCCTGAATGCATTTCAGATGCATCATCTTATATCCGTGAAGCATACCATATCGGTTCAACTGATCCTGGAGAAACACAGCAATGTCCAGCAGATCAGAATGTCTGAACAGGCGCAAAGTGTTGAGGTGCCTACGCAAAGTTGACACACTAATAACAATACCATTTATATTACTTAAAGACAGAAGTATCTCCCAATGTCTCAAACCCAAAGTAAAATAAAACGGGATTAAACCTGAAAGGCAGGGCATATTTACTTCCATGCAATCCAGCTAAAATAGAGCTTCTGGCAGGATTTTTAGGGATCTCGTTAATTCAGAAAAACAAATTTTTTTTTCATGAAAACTTATCTCATAATTCTGAGATAATTAACCCTTAAGAGTTCCTTTAAAAAAAAAAACCTTAATTGTCCCTCGTGACAAAAAATGTGTTGTTCCCAAAAACTGCTGTAAAAATGTCATAAATTAATATTTTTTTTCACTTTAAACGAGTCAATCTTTCAAAGCTACTTCAGCCTGAAATATACATATCGAACATTAATTATGTTTGGGGGATTTTAACCCTTTAAATGCCATTATGTTGACATAACTCCACTGTTATTTTATCAAAAAAATATATAGCCACAAGCGGCAATTCGCGTTCATACCTTTTTTTGCAATATCGCTATCAAAAATATTTCACACACATGGTTCAATATTGTTACAAAACACATTCTGCAAGTTTTGTAACGACTGGACAAGCCTTTTCTGATCTATAGCCCGATTTGTTTCATTCCACGTCCAATTAATATGCATTTATAGCGCTTTCTAGTGGTCGATTTGAATGAGACTAGCAGGGTATGTGTGAGCTGCTTATGTACACATATCCTGCAAGTTTTGTGTTGATTGGACTAGCAATATGCATTTTGTAGCCTGATTTGCGTTTTAGCCCCTGCCGTTTGTTTGCATTTATAGCGCCCCCTAGTGGTCGATTTGAATGAAACTTTCAGGGTATGTTTCTGGCACTCATGTGGACATATCCTGTGAGTTTTGTGATGATTGGACCAA